AATAATTATTTAGATAAATTATGCTTTCAATAAAGCAATCTAAAGATGATTAACTTACAATTTCCAGAGCTGCTGCGTGATTGCATGAAAGATCATTTTATTCTTAGTTTGTTTAACAACAATTTGTTTAACATTTGAGCTTTTTGACGTGTCCCTACATGCCACTAGAGTCAATTTTATACTCACAATACCTAAAATGTAAATATAAACAAACATTTCTAAGTGAAGATAAACATCTGATTACAGATAAATAGGTTTTGTTTATGTATCAACATATGGACGGTGTTATGCATAGGAACCAAGCGCCAGCAACGTAAATTTGGTTATTGAAATTGATTTGCACCCATGCCAATAATTATATTTTTGTAAAGTGCCAAAAACTTGTTTAAAGAAATGGATTCATGCCATTAAAAATTCCCTCATGCCCATCTGTCTTAATCTGATACATAATGCTCAATAAATTAAACATACTGTATTTACACATTAATCAAAGACTAAAAAGTTAAATATAGTTTATGAATAAAATCTTTTTAAAATATCACGTTTTTAATCGCACTAAAAATTATTTAATAATTTACTCTCCCCATATAGATAGTCGAAAATAAAAAAACGTGGGGCAATATAGATAATACAGTAAAAAAAGAGGGGGTAGTTGTCGATAGGAAACAAACATTTTCACAGTACATCCAGTCTGTATGATTTGCATCTGTATTCCCCAATTGAGATAAAAAATAAACGAATCATTCAATAGGTGAAGATATAATCGTTAATTAGCTTGCACGCGCCCCACGTTTTTCGTTTTAAATCTTACAAGTATTTTTCACAGCTACGACATGTTATTTACAATCACAAATTGTCTAGAGAATCTATAGTAGAAAGTGCGATTAAAACGTGGTATTTTAAGAAGTGTTTTATTTATAAGTTATTTCATCTAAATACATTTTTGTCAAATAAATAGGCTTTTAACGTATCAGTATGCATGGCGAGCACATAACCTCAACACTACACTAAGATCTCTTTAATGTATAAGGAGAAATGCCAAAGCTACATGATGTTTTATAATTGGTCATCATAGCTATGGAAAAAGATATAGAAGATCTTCATTCCCCACACAACGTTATACATCAGTTTTGATTTGATGGTGGTCTGCACAAAACAAAAGGCAGATCTAATGACCTCACTAACAGTAACAGATAAGTGTCTTCAACTGTTCAACTAATCTTAATTGTCCCGATTGTGAAAACCAACGTGAAAACAGATGGGTGACTAATCAGCTTACTGCCATCGATCTCTATTATTAGATATCGATGCTTACTGCCTATGTCTATGTCTACCATGTGCTATAATGACGCTGGTGTATTCAAGATTTTTCATGATGAATTTAAAATGTGTTGTGGAATTGAAGCAGATTCACGAGCATTCCCACAATTCATAACGTAACGATGGGATGTAGTGATGTAATTGAGATTAATTGTCCATGAGCTTTTATAATTTGCTAACATGAGTAGAGCCATCGCCATTGTAGGTAGAGCATTGACCTCTACCTCATTGATATGGCAGTTGCACACTTCACGCATTCATTATGTCAAGTGTAACATAATAAAAATAAAAATAAGGTAACATTGGATCTTGATCTGTTTTTAGCTGGTTTTATAGGTTACTTATCTAATTTTTTTAAATAATGAAATCACTAGGAAGCTGTAAAAGATGGGAATTTCAATGAATATGATAAGAAAAATGTTAAGCTTAAAGGTGAAGTTAGTGGATTTTTACAACCTTTTCATTTTATTCATGTTGAAGCCTTCCAGAATTGGTAATCAATTGTAACAAGTTACGTACCTTGACGTCCACAATTCCTCAGTCGAACTTCTATTGACTAGTTTCGACTACTAAGTAGTCATTTTCAAAACGGAACGTTAAAATATTTCATTCATTGAATGTCGTAAAATATTCTTAAATACATTTAACACAAACACGGTAGACATTTAACATATAGTTGGCCGGCCGGCACACGTCACTGAAATAACTTATTAACTGTTCTGTAGTTTTTTAGCAAATTTCCCTATAGAGAAGTATTAGCGAATTTCCTTATAGGGAAGTAGCTATTATGTACCGTAGGTGGCATGGTAAGACCTAAGCCCGGGAGCAATTTACTTTTTCATTTTGATGTCCCCAGAGGCCAAAAACACCATTCGTTCAAATTTATATATATGTATATATATATATAGATTTATATTTTGTTATTGTATACATCAATGAGGGCTACTTTAAATGTTATTAAGCAAATCAAAATACCACAGTACCCTAAAAACATTTTATTTTATATTACTTACATGTTTCGGACATTAATGCCATGATCACAGTATAGTACTGTATATAACCAATTTTATTTATTTATATAAGATTTATATATATATGTGTCCGTGAACGCGATAACTTGAATAATTTTTGTCCGATTTTGATGAAATTTGGTTTAAAAGTGTAAAGCGGGATAAACTTGAATGAGTTCGTGAACCAGCACGATCGGACCATGGGAACAGGGCTTTACGGGGGGTTTTATGGGGTAAAAATAGGGTTTTCTCACTTCTTACCCTCAAAACACAGTTTCCCAATTTCTCTTTAGACCTTTTTAAAGAGCTTAAAAAAATAAATAGTTTAGTATATAAAAGTATTTTTGTACGGTTATTAGTAACGGAGAAAATTAAAAAAATTGTAAATTTAAAATTCCCATGTTATTCTTATGGAGAATATTGTAAAATGTTGTAGTTTGGTTGTTTATGGATATATTTTGATCAAACTTGGCAAACTTATTTATTTTGTACTAAGCTATTAATATTTTACTAAAAAACACACTTTATTAGTTTCCTTGTAGCAGCAAACCTAGGTACTCGACCTATAATGTTATTGAAATATATTTCATTGAAAATCAATTCAGACAAATGTAAATTCGCTTAGTTGTCAGGTTTGCTGCGACGGGGGTATTTTTTCTTTTAAACAGGTTGGCCGCCTCTTTTAACCTTGTATTTGCTCATTCACATAGACTAAATTCCCGTGCGTGGATCGTATACAGCAAAGCAAGGAGTGAGCCGGTACAGTACAAAGGTGATCCCTACTGATAAAATGTTTTCGGCAGTGACCAGGATCCGAACACACAACATCGCTGCCTTGGGCCCGAAGTCTGTGACGCTACCGAGCCACTGATCACTATTTTTTTTTTTTTTTTTTTTTTTGTCCTAAGGACGCTAGGCACGAGCCTGGGATTGTTTTTCACATTACTTCAGGCTAGACCTAGGGGTTGCGGCATTATCACTTAGATAAAATCCATTGGTGACTTGGCGGGGATCGAACCCGGGACCTCAGAGACTGAAGTCCCGCGCTCTAACCACTACGCCAGCTCGCTCCCCACTGACTCACTATAGTAGTATATTTTAATAAAAATCTCCCATCACATACGATTACTGCAACCAATATGGATGTTATAAGTCTAACTGCTCACCAAACTAAGTATTTAGGTATAAGATTAAACTTTGTTACAGCTATATGATAGCTTGGTAGCTGAGTATGGTCCTTGCTTAGTAATCAAGGTTGCTGGTTCAATCCTGCCAAAAGTTCAAAACTGGACCTATCTGTCATTGATCATTGAGCTTTTAATAAATAATCCTGGCTTATGAAACAGTTGGTCTTAGTCATCAAAGCTTCACATCTCACATAATTCTACACTATTATTTGGATTAAGATACACACCTAGGCACCTCTTTATCTCAATTGGTAATAATAATATGATACAGTTGACCTTTCCCAATCAAGTATATTTTTGGACAATTTTAGCAAATGAATGGTAAAGCAATTTCCATATTAACTTAAAATTGTATTTTAATTTTAAGCACAACAATAAAATAAAATACAGGCTTTACATGTAGCACATTCTACAATAAATTTAACAAAATAGATTGATTTTAACCTATTAAGTCAAATGAGCAAAATTGTAATATTGGGTGTCACAAAATGTACAATTAATTGTTTACCTGGACCTTTTAAGTATTAAAAACTAATGGTAGTAAAATACTCCTAGCAAATTTATTACTTTATCTACAAACTATTAAGGCAATTATTTTTGTATTGTTAAATGCAGTTATAAATAAGTTGCTCCAATCAATCAAATATTTGTGGATTACATGAAATAAAAACAATTTAATTATACCATTAAATTAAACATACATTTATACTTAACATTTTTTTTAGAAAAAATCATTGGAAATGATAAGTAACAAGTACAAGACATTTTATTTGAGTATAAAAAAACACAGTTTGTACAATAGTTAATAAAACTGTAGTTGAGCTTGCCCTTTAAACTGATGATAATGTGTTGATAAGAAATGATTACAAAATCAGGTTGTGTTGCAAGTTTGGTTCGGAGAATACACACTTACTATAAAAACAAATTATAAATTATATTTCTCAAATTTTGTTCAAGATAACATATTATTAATTATTATATCTTTGGATAAAGACAAGTATTTTTGAATGTTTTTAACAGATTTAAAAGAATTCCGTTTTATTTTAAAATTATTTGGTTTGATATTTACAAAAAGTTTAACCGGTCATTTGGAGAAATTTAAAAACATGCAATACATGTCAATTAAGTAAGTCATGATTTGTAAATTAAAAATTTTATGAAACTTGCTTATTAAATAATAACCATTTTTGGGGGCATTTATTACCTTTATACACTCTCGTTTCATTTTTATCATAAATAATTTTAACGCAAATAGCAAAATGTATTTTTTTGCCTTTTATTAGATGGTAACAATAAACTTTTTGCTTAAAAACGGTTATTTTGATTTAAATAGTAAAATTTGTTATAAAGTAAAATTATTAATACATTAAACATTAGTTATTGGAAGTACATCTTTAAGTTGATACCACACATTTTTATTTAAATATCACATACAGTTATTAGGAAACAACAGGTTTAGTATAGTAAATGGATAACATTCTGGTTGTAGTAAAATATCTTTTATTATATAACTGGGTGTTCCATAAATTCATCTCTATGTAAATCATTAACAACCCAATAATCCCTAATCAACAAAACAAATTCAACAAATCTTCAAATTGAAAAAAAAGTTGAATTGTAAAATATTTGTATATACATCAGCAAATTATAAATCTAATACCTATTTGGCTTAGTGGAAAAGATAGAGGTTAAAAATAAGTTTATAAACAAACAATAAAATACTTTACTACAATATAAATAACTGATTTACACTAAATATATTTTAATCAAATATTTCAACAACAATGTACATAAAATAAACGTAACACATAACAACTAGAGTTCAGGCACGACTTATAAGTAGCAATCCGTTGGTGTGCTAACTCCTTGCAAATCTGTAAAATTTAAACAATAATTAATTATTGACTTTATACCATTAAAAAATGACAAGTTGATTTCTGCCATACAAGAAATAGAGATAACTAGTGCACCAGTTGCTCGAATTCGAGCAATTGCAAAATATTACAGGCGGGTTTTCAAAACGAATAACAGTCATAATTTCTGAGGACTTAAAGAGCAGACTCAAACATGATAATGTAATAAATCAGACTCCAGTTATCGAAACTGAAAACGACCTCACTCTGGAAACAAACGCTCTTGTGTGTATCATGTGTTTGGGAAAAACTATATTGTTTGTACAAACCTATGAACAGCTGTAATTAATACAAATTATTCGTCTTTAGTAAACAAAATCTTTTCTTTATAAGAAATACATTGGGATTTTGATGGACTGTGGGGCAAAGCCCGAGATCTTTTTATTACAGGAATTGGTGAAAGGGGGCATCTACACAAAAAAATACCTAATTTTGACACATTGTTTGTAAAAAGATGTGCATTATTAGTGGAGGAGTAGTGTTTCGTAGAAATTGCCTTCACGTATTATATATAAGGATGTTTTATTAAGAATTTATTATTATATAAAATAATATAAAAATAAAATAACTAAAACCTGTTTGATTTAGTACTAAAACAAGTATTACGATTGTAAATCTTGAGCTTGGGTAAAAAAAGACTCGGGTGCTGCTGTGTCTGATTCGGGATTCGGCTTCCTTTTTCGCCATTTTAACAGTTAAATGCAATTTTTAGATTGTTTCATCATAAAATCATGTTAGTCAGAAACATTTGGCATCTGACTACAGGGAACGTGGGAACGTTAGCTCCGATAGTCTTTGCCTGATACCTCAGTCGCTGGTGTAGTCCATGGTCTTGATGAACTCGATGGCAGAACAAAACTGCACCCACCAGTAATGCTCCTCACCCTGTAGTCTGTTGGCGTAGAAGCTCGTCACGTACTGTACAGTGGACAAAAGGGACGGTGGATTGGCCTGCCAAACAAACACGAAACCTACTACAATATCAGTCTCTTTATGTCAAAAATACTGGTATTTCGTCTACACCTTTAAATTGAGCAAAATCGTCTTTCCATATAGTTGTCATACAAAGTGGCTCTTTGTTCTCTTGACATAGTTGGCAAAACAGCGGATTACTTTGTTTATCCCAATGACAACTGAACAAAACAAAACGTAGTCCGAGTTTATTTTTATAGGATAATCAACAGGAAAGGGTGTGTATAGATTAAATAAATTTTTGTAAGTAATAAGTTATAAAACAAACAAAAATAGTTGGAGTAGTCTACAGAATAAATAGTCCAGATAAGCACGTACCCTGTAGGAAACTCAATTTAACCCATTGGGGAAGGAATTAATGCGCTACCTGCAGTACCCTCTGGTGGCAATTAATTTTACCGAATTTTATAAACTTTTACTCTAACTGCTATAGGAAGAAAACCTTAGGTAATTAATTAATAATTCTTTCAACATTTTGTTCACAGTAAAATTGTCTACAGAAAAGTGGTAATTGGATAATCAAAGTTCTAAACTAAAAAATATATATAAATATAAAGATTATAAAAATAAAAATTTTAAAAACAATATTTTGAAAGTAAACTTGATATACAAATTCCAAGATTAATCCAGACACCAAATAACACTACTATTATAAAGTTCAATCGATTCCCTACGTAGAAAAATCAAAAGTTGTGTACTTTTATAAATAATAACATTTTTTTTTATTGTTTGTTTGCCTTACCGCAGCTGATTATTGGTGATATGTGGTTTCCATGGCAACACAAAATTGTTTGTTATTCGCTAAAATAAATGAGTAAATACGCAAATCAAGAAGCAAGATATTTATAAGCATTATAATAGTAAGAAGAAACAAAAAGGGCAAAAAATAATAATAACTAAATAACTAATGGCGCTGCCTAGCGGTGACACGGGCGGCACTCGTAAGTCGGCCGTCGGGCCTGCAGCAGCCGTACGAGTAACGCTCGTAAGTCGGCACCAATGGGTTAAATACACTTATTTTTTCCACATAACTAGCTACAACTTCAATATGGGATTGTCTAGTCATAGTCAACTGTGTTTAACCTTTAATTGAAAGGCTTTAATTAGAAAAGGAAAAGGTACAAGTTGCCTGCCTCATCACAATAATTGTTCTTTAAGCCTCGATTAGTTCCATCTGTTACAAGTAGAATGGATCGTTTACCAACACTTACCTTGATAAGAACATAAACCATGACTGGCACCAGGTCATCGGCTGCAGGTGCGCCTCGGTCACACGCGAGCGACAATAGGTTCATGACGGTGGTAGCGCAGCGGAAAACACACTGCAGCTTGTCACGCGGCGTCTTGTATGCAGATATTATGGCTATCTCGGCCTGCGCGGATGGCCACGGACACTCATAGTGGAATATCTGTTGAAACAATGTAGTTATTGTAACAAGCAATTCTTTGTTTGCCAAACAATGTTAGTTGGAAGATATGTCATGAAAGCAATGAGATATGAAAAATATTGTTTTAAGTCCACCTATATCACTGAAACATCAAAGAAATAGTGTCTTCTAACCAATTACGGGAAATCCGTAGAAACCTTTGAATACAAAAACTGGCTGAAACGAGTATGAAGATACTGACGTCAACGCTGCAGGATGCCATTTAAGTGATTTGTGTTTTTAATATACATTTTAATGGTTATGACAGATCTACCTTGACATTTTGACAAACAACACATTCTTTAGATGTTCCTGTAACGTCTAAGGATGGACTGTATAAACTTGTTGTTCTTCTTCCAAAAACAGGTCCAACAACAGATCAGGTACGGCAATGTAAACTATTTTTGTAATCCAGTGATTCAGAGTTGAATTAACCATAAAATTTTTAGTTAGGGAATTAATCATGCTATTTACTACATAAATTAAGAGTAATAAAAGTAATTACCTTTGGAATTCGGAGGTCCTTGTGGTTTGGAGTTATCACTTTAGACAGTTTATTCATATGATCATGGAGGACCCTGAAAAGTACAAGATTGTTACTTCAAATGTCGTTACTATCTCATAAAACCATTATAAGTTTTTTCGCAGTCTGGTTCTTAATAATTAAATCATGTGAGAAGGGAGAATTCCTTTGAGAAAATTGATGATAGAAGAAAGTACAGTGAAAGGAAGATATAGAAGTTGGGTAAATGAGGATGTGGACAAGATTTGTATGTATTGTTAGCTGAGTGGTTAGCATTTTAGTCATCAGCGTGGTAGGGAGGAGTTAATACCTGGCATTGTCACAGAATTTAATGGATGTGGACGTCTCACTTAATATCGTTAGTATTTGCTTACCTAAAAATGTCAAGACATCTCCCATCTCTTTTCCAAACTTAAAAAAGATGTCAATGACAGTGAAATTGTGTATGGGGTGTTTTTACTTTCTTGTGTCAGAGTATACTCTTACCTATTCAGATAGACCTAACTCTAATAATAAAGATCCTTAGATCCAGGCCATTTCAATATTTACATCTTGTTACATGTTCGACAGTGCATTTTGCACGTATGTATGAAAAGTGTGTCCAGGCTTGAGGTAATCAAGAAATAATACGACCACTCTTTATTAGTGGTATAGTTTTGTGTGATGAAAAGAATTAAAACGTTAATAACACAAACAAAATTGTCTGAACTATGTTGGTCATATTTCACACAATGCGCAAACCTTCGGTTACCACTATGCAATCTGTCGATGTAATCTTAATCATCAGTCTCAATCATTCTTGGTCATAACAAAAATTTAGCCACTAAATCTGCGTTTACACGATGCCAGTTGGCAGGAAATAGATTAGAGGCAACTGACCTGCCAGCTCTACTGGCCTCGTGAAACGCGGCTTAATGTTAACATCAAAACAATGCTTACTAATCAATGCTTACAATGCTTAAAGTCAGCTGATTTCAACACCATTATTGGTTTTAAATCTGAACATAGTAAAATCATTGAAGTGAAAATTGAAAATCAGTGAAAAGCACTAAAAAACTAAAACATTTTTAAGTATCTCCATTGATTTGTTCTATGTTTGTTTTCTGTTACTTTAATTTGCATTTGATGTATTAATTATTGCATTTGTATTATGTAATTGCATTTGATGTGGACTTATTATTATTTAAAGAAAGGAAAATTAATTTGAAGGTCATTAATTATTATATATATTCTGTTTTGACAACTGTAAAATCCCTAGTTTTAGCTATCTATGTTGACACAATTTCATGTACCAATCTGTGCATTTTATGAAATAAAGAAGTTGATTGATTGATTGATTGATAGACCGTGGTAATTCTTCATAGTTTCAATTCTGATTTCCGGACATGGAAAGTAAGTATAGTTTCCATTATCAGGTGGATCTCTTAAGAGCAACTTATGGTGATTATATTGAACTTTACTAAATAAGAACTTGGTTGTTTACGTTACATAGTTATTTACGGACAAAGTATTATACTGTATAAGGTAGGTGTGTAACATGTTGCCTACCAGCCGTCACACTCCTCTGTAATGGCTTTATGCCTGGTAGTGAGTGTGTTATTCTATGAACGTTACTCACTGGTCTCTGGAGACGTCGCCGTCACCGTTGGGATACATAGCGTAAACGTACACCCTGCTGATGACTGCCCTCTCTACGGCCAACCTGCCTTGGTTCAGCTGACTCTCACTGGCCGCTGGAACACATAAACCACAGTGTCACAAACTAAGGACTAGTTTTTGTCCCACCTTCACAGCCTAGGATGTAATTTCTAGCCATAAGCCGCTTTACACATTACTTCAGACTAGACCTAAAGGGTTGCAATTGTTATACATTGGTCATTGGTGCGATTTGAATTCGGGAACTTGGGGACTGAAGGAAATAATAATTAACAGTATAAACTCGCTATTCTGACCTCAAACGATTCGACTCTTAGCTTAATCCAACACACTTGTAGACTTTTGTTTAAATAAGTAAAGATTGCACATTTCAATTCTGTACAAGTCGGCAGATTGTCCTTGTGCTTTCATGTGAGAAAGATTTAGACTGTAATTTTTAGTCTGCACCAAAAATTACACAAAAAGAAAATGCATTTGTTAAAGCGCTCCAATACATCTAACAGAGTTCGACATCCACACAATGGACATTTGGGGGTCCAGAAATGGAGGGCAGCTAAATCACAGTTGTTGTCTGCTAGTAAACGAACATAAAGCAGAACCTTGTTTATCCAGAGGCAAGTCAACCGAGTGGCTGATCAACTGTGGTTAATAGATACAGAAAAACCTCTCTGACTGGACACCCAGTAACTCGACAGTTAACAGCTGACAGGCCAAGTGTCTAGCTGACTTTAATAGACGGCTAAGAGTGTTTATAAGATTCTTTAAAGATTGTTTACTCAAAATGTAAAAATACTAATGTAAGTGTAATAAATTGATGTGTTCAAATTAGTCTGTTCCTGTTGTGTATTCATTTATTAAAATGAATAAAAAATTTGAATGTTCTAGATAACTCAACAGGACCCCCAAATTCAACAATCCCTCAACATCAAACCATGATGTAATACCATGATATGTCACATGACAAATAAATAACACTTTTGTGCTTTCTTAGAGGTTAAGCAGTGTCATGCAGTGGGTTACTTGTGGAATTGGCCCACAAATTGTTGAGTTAGTGAGGTTTTACTGTAATCAATAAAAAACTGAGAATATTTATCAATTGTTTTCCCAACCCTAGTGAAAGCCAATTCTACTCATAGCCCTACCTTGCCACAGAGAGTCTCTGTCCATTTCCGCTGTCAGCGTTTGTAGAAAGCTGTCCAACAAGTCATTCTTCTCGTCTGCCAAAGTCAGCTGTTGAAACTCTGCGGTGAACTGATCCAACATGGCTTCTCTCTTTTCCAGGAAAATCCTTACACAAACCGCGATCAAGAAGGCACTGCTAACTGTCTTGTCGTTCTTCAGCCGTTCTGTTAATCTGCAACAGAGATCTGTTGTAAAGCGTCGTTGAAAATAAGACGCAAACTGTTATGATAGGTTATTTGTGAACTTTGCTTCAATTACTTTTATTTCTAGTGTTAAGACTAAAAAGATAATCACGTTCTTTAGTTTTTTCTAAACTTAATGACTACAGTAACAAAAGATCAACCAAGTAACATGCATTCTATATCTTAATTAATATGTTTAAGAATTTTTTAATTTATAGAACTATAGGCCTACTTACAGTAAGTAAAAAATTTCAATGGAATGTAATTTTCCAATATATTAAAAAATATTTTCATTTTGTCAGAAATGTTAAAAAAACTCAATACAATCTCAGGACTGAAAATTTCTCTGACTATTGGATGTAGAAAATATAGTCCACAGTACAGAGAGAATAGTAGAAAATAATCACAACATATTTTAACACCATAAAATCATGGCTAATTTATTTTTTTATAGTTGTACCTCCATTTAACAAATTTGTAATTAAACACTATAAAAAAAGAAATTCAAGCAATATTTAATGATTAATTCAACCACAAACCTGTCCAAATGGGCCAGAGTAGACAAAAGCGATTGGCGACATTTTACTAAGTAGGCAACATATGGCGATCGACTTTTGAAGTCTTCTTTGAGGGATTCAAATAACTTTCTGCATCTGCAATCACATCATTTTTAGGTGAAACAGTGAAACGATAAACATCGTTAAAGACTCCCTAGCAATATATAAATGCGTTGTAGAAAAATTCACAGAGTGTAGACTAGTAGGAATGGATGAACTTCATGGAGGAATTTTATTTAAGGACAGGGTTTCCTAGTGTAGGGTATGCCAAAGGGGGAGGCATCATTTTCCATTTTAGAATTTAGGGAAAAGATAATCTTCTTTTTTGACCAGCATAACCAACTTCTCAAAGCAAATTCTCTGCCATTACACCTAAGTTACCAAGCTATACAATTCTGTCTCCAACATTTTAGAATTGAAAACTTAAATTTCTGACTGATTAGTATTTTTATTACATATTGAATACAAACTAATTACGCCTTGAGCTACCATTTGTTTAGATTTATCAATTGCACTCCATTTAATTTTCTTCACCACCTGTGTAAAGAACAGCAGCAGTACCAAAAAAACTTTTTTTGGAACAATTCCGTACCGTGATGGTACAAAGATCAGAATTGTACCGTACCACTTCCAAACAGAATGAATTGCTTGTCCTTAAAGCTTTCCAGTACTACGTAACGTACAACAAATACGGTATAATGCCACTGTTGTAAATAACTAGAAAATAATAACAAAGTTCAAATATAGAAATTTACTGACTTTGGTGCAGTAGCATTTTCTAATTTAAACAGCTATGAATATTTCTAACAACAAGCACTTACCCTTGGCTGTCAAACAGCCTAACACATCTCAGAGTCTCGTGAAGATGAGCAATCAAAGCTCGGTCTTGCAGATTAATAGCCTCAGCCAGCTGAAGCTGTAGGAATGCGACCAATTCATTTTCTTTCTGGCTCCATGCGTTTTTCTGCAAGCGTTTATACCACTTAATATTTTTCTTGTCTATATAGGCCTATTCACTGAAAAGTTCTTAAACTAGATCAAAATATCAGGCGTTTTGCAATGTAACATTTGTCTGTATATTTATGAGCCATTGGGCTCTAAAATTCTTAGGGAAGCTGGCTGAATTCTGTTTCTTTTAACAAATTATTAAGGTGTTGCCGTAGTACTCACTAGTGCGGACGTTAATCCACACCAGGGAGTATCGCATCCACAGTGCATGCCTGTAAATATCCACAATTCGTCACTTCCTGGTAGCTGGATTAAAGGACTACGCCACCATATTATTAGGTGGGGTCAGTATAATAATTAAGTACCCAAGCAACGAGATTATATGTGTGAATGGGAGGGTTTGAAAGTAAATATTTACAGTCTTCAACTATTCAAACGTCAACTATGATTGCGACTCAATAGCCTTTAATTTTTTTTTTAAATATAGTATGTTCCTATTCCTATTATTAAATAAATTCCCTAATTCTAAATTTTCGCTGATCCGAACAGGGTTTGGTCCCAGGTTCGGAATAGTCAATAGTAGGACTCTACTGTATCATAGAATCGGCTCTGTTGAAGACTTTTCCCCCTTGACCTGTATTTATCATATGTGTATATTTATCATGTTATTATTTTATTCTGTTTACTTTTTCAATACATTGTTTTTCTTGCTCATGTTAACATGGTGTCTTTTTCATAATTTAAATATTGTTTACATTTCCCAATCCATCAGGCTCCTTTTTAAGGGTCATAGGTAAATAATCAACTTCAGCTCAAAGTCACAAAAAATCATTTACACTCTTTAAATCCATATTATTGAATGGGCATATATGAAAAAAGTGTTAATACTACAATCACTAGAACTACTCAGGGTGTCTAGTTTGTTTCCATTATAAAATTCAAGACTAATTCCAGACTTTTCAAGACTAATTCCAGATTTTTCAAGACTAGTTTTTTCAACAATTAGTGCGTATTGATACAAAAATGTATCGATTCTCGATTCTTGATACTGATACCAATTTTTATAGCTTAACCAAATTTTCTGAATAATACTACACCAACCCCTGTCTTTGTCATAAAGTAGTATTATGATAATGTGGTGTTTTCAAGTAAAGAAATAATGCAGCAATAAAAAATTCTAACTAGCAAATTTGTTTTTTTTTCATGAAATCTTCCATGTTCCGTACGTTTAGACATCATCATTGACTGCAGCGGTTACAGCAACGTGATCGTCGTCGTCCGCGATCACGGCAAAATCATGAACATTTCCCGCGGCCTTGTAGACATCAATGACATCATCGTCGTCTCCCGCTGTCTCAGAAACGTCATCGTCATCGTCCGCGATCGCGGCAAGATCATGAACATTTCCCGCGGCCGTGTAGACATCATCGTCGTCTCCCGCGGTCACGGAAACGTCATCGTCATCTCCCGCGGTCACGGAAACGTCATCGTCGTCGTCCGCGATCGCGACAAACTCATGAACATTTCCCGCGGCCGAGCATATATCATAGTCGTCTCCCGCGGTCACGGAATCGTCATCGTCGTCTCCCGCGGTAACGGAAACGTCATCGTTATCTCCCGCGGTCACGGAAACGTCATCGTCATCTCCCGCGATCGCGACAAAATCATGAACATTTCCCGCGGCCGAGCAGATATCATCGTCGTCTACCGCGGTCACGGAATCGTCATCGTCGTCTCCCGCGGTCACGGAAACGTCATCGTTATCTCCCGCGGTCACGGAAACGTCATCGTCATCTCCCGCGATCGCGACAAACTCATGAACGTTTCCCGCGGCCAAGCAGATATCATCGTCGTCTCCCGCGGTCACGCATCATTGTCTCCCGCGGTCACGGAAACGTCATCGTTATCTCCCGCGGTCACGGAAACGTCATTGTCATCTCCCGCGGTCACGGAAACGTCATCGTCGTCGTCCGCGATCGCGACAAACTCATTAACATTTTCCGCGGCCGAGCAGATATCATCGTCGTCTCCCGCGGTCACGGAATCGTCATCGTCGTCTCCCGCGGTAACGGAAACGTCATCGTTATCTCCCGCGGTCACGGAAACGTCATCGTCATCTCCCGCGATCGCGACAAAATCATGAACATTTCCCGCGGCCGAGCAGATATCATCGTCGTCTACCGCGGTCACGGAATCGTCATCGTCGTCTCCCGCGGTCACGGAAACGTCATCGTTATCTCCCGCGGTCACGGAAACGTCATCGTCATCTCCCGCGATCGCGACAAACTCATGAACGTTTCCCGCGGCCAAGCAGATATCATCGTCGTCTCCCGCGGTCACGCATCATTGTCTCCCGCGGTCACGGAAACGTCATCGTTATCTCCCGCGGTCACGGAAACGTCATTGTCATCTCCCGCGGTCACGGAAACGTCATCGTCGTCGTCCGCGATCGCGACAAACTCATTAACATTTCCCGCGGCCGAGCATATATCATAGTCGTCTCCCGCGGTCACGGAATCGTCATCGTCGTCTCCCGCGGTAACGGAAACGTCATCGTTATCTCCCGCGGTCACGGAAACGTCATCGTCATCTCCCGCGATCGCGACAAAATCATGAACATTTCCCGCGGCCGAGCAGATATCATCGTCGTCTACCGCGGTCACGGAATCGTCATCGTCGTCTCCCGCGGTCACGGAAACGTCATCGTCATCTCCCGCGATCGCGACAAACTCATGAACGTTTCCCGCGGCCAAGCAGATATCATCGTCGTCTCCCGCGGTCACGCATCATTGTCTCCCGCGGTCACGGAAACGTCATCGTTATCTCCCGCGGTCACGGAAACGTCATTGTCATCTCCCGCGGTCACGGAAACGTCATCGTCGTCGTCCGCGATCGCGACAAACTCATTAACATTTTCCGCGGCCGAGCAGATATCATCGTCGTCTCCCGCGGTCACGGAATCGTCATCGTCGTCTCCCGCGGTCACGGAATCGTCATAGTCGTCTCCCGCGGTCACGGAAACGTCATCGTCATCTCCCGCGGTCACGGAAACGTCATCGTCATCTCCCGCGATCGCGACAAACTCATGAACGTTTCCCGCGGCCGAGCAGATATCATCGTCGTCTCCCGCGGTCACGGAATCGTCATCGTCGTCTCCCGCGGTCACGGAAACGTCATCGTTATCTCCCGCGGTCACGGAAACGTCATTGTCATCTCCCGCGGTCACGGAAACGTCATCGTCGTCGTCCGCGATCGCGACAAACTCATGAACATTTCCCGCGGCCGAGCAGATATCATCGTCGTCTCCCGCGGTCACGGAATCGTCATCGTCGTCTCCCGCGGTCACGGAATCGTCATCGTCGTCTCCCGCGGTCACGGAAACGTCATCGTCATCTCCCGCGGTCACGGAAACGTCATCGTCATCTCCCGCGGTCACGGAAACGTCATCGTCGTCGTCAACTATTGCGGCAAAATCGTGAACATTTCCCGAGGCCGTGTAGACATCATCATTGGCTTTTGCAGTCACGTAAACGCAAGACGACGATCGCGGCAAAATCACGAAAATTCCCGACTTTGAAATCAAATTTAAGACTAAATCCCGACTTTCAAGACCATTTTGAAATTCAAGACTAATTCCCGACTTTCCCGATTTTCCCGACTACTAGACACCCTGACTACTGTAATCTTTACTTTAGTTCAAAAGTTTAATACAAATCATGTGAACTCCACAACACCATATTATTGAATGGACATAGGAAAAACAAACAAGTTTTAAAACCACTATGACTAGATGAACTTATTACTCAATTTTAACTAAGATGTCAAATAAGAATCATATAAACTCATGACTAGTGAAATCCACAGAGTTACTAACTAGCCTATTTACACTCTACATACCATGGAGGGCATGCCATCGGGTACTTGTTGCAGGTCCGCAGTGCTCAATACTAGCCGTAGTTTCTTCTTGGCGTCTCTGAAGGCATACGAGGCCTCCACGTGGCTGGGGTCGATCGTGAGACGTTCGTCATCACTTGCGTCTCTCGCCTCACTCTCCGCCTCTCTATCCTTGGCCTTCGCCTTGGCCTCCTCGCCCACACTCACTTTCCGACGGTACTTGGCCAGTATGTCGTCTGAAGTGTCTGCCAAACATACAGGAATTTAGCTCATCTGAAAATCATTCTAGAATATTCTAGCAGAATCAGTAAAAAAACGAGTCCTCACAAATATTTTGGATTAGCAATGAAATCCAGTCTTCACATAACATAGGACAGTATCCAGAAAATATACTTTAGTACATAAACCCAGCCATAACTGATAAAAAAACCATTGAGAACATTATATGTTTTAGTAAGAACACAATAAAAGATAGTTTATCACAAAATATAAAACGCAAGTAACACGGTTTACTATTAATTTATAAGGCTTTTGAAAAAAGCTCTGTACCCATGCGTTCCAACTCCATTACATCGCTTGTAGCCCATCCCACCCTATTGAGATGGGATACAAACCCTCCATATTTAAGACTGATTACTGGATAGAGACGGTATCTTAAACCACAGTATTTGCAGCACGAATCAAGCACAATTTTCAGTTTTGTTGTTGTTATGCTCATGATCACCTATGTCAGCTTTGGAGCTTAATCAAATCAAACAAAATTTCTTTATTTTGAATAAAATAAACAATTTTTACAGAATATAATATGTACAATAAAAAAGTTTTAAGTGTTATATCTAAAACTAAACAAAGATAATCCCACATGTGTGAACCCGTGCGTTGGAGTGAGTCATATACTATTGTAAAAAAGAAAGAAATGAGAAACTTAGAAAACATGGGAAAAAATAAAGGAACTTCATGATTCGACGGCACTAGCAGAATTATGACAAATGACATTAGAACAAGTAGATAACTATCAGATTGACCTCCCCCCCAACCCCTAACAACCCAGATCGCTTTCCGCTTCCCCCTCCCCTCCACATACACACTCTCTGAATCAGCTGTCAACTATTGTCATTTTTTTGAAATCAAATCTGTATTAAAGGGATTGTATCCTAACTAACTCGCTCAATTTTTCCACATCCCTTATTTTTAGCACCAAGTCATGGGCAATCCATGGTTTTACTGGTCTCTGCTTCAGTTTGAGTGCAGATCTTTGCTTTGTGGATTTATTTACACAATCTTTGATTTTATAAAAAAAATATCCTCAGATGTGTTTACCTGTCCAATAACACTCTTTATTATTTGAGCTCAAAGATGTTTTGTGTCAACCATACAAAGATATACTGAAAGTTAACCTCACTCACCATTACAGTGTGGATGGCTGTCCTCTGAATGACCTCTGCGTAATCTTACTACATCTCCTTCTCCTTCATACCTTTACAAGAAAAATTAAATTAACAAACCCCTAAAATATAACAATATTATAAAACACTATAACACAGATAAGGGATCTAGTTTTGCAATTAACTCAAATAAAAAATGTAAGATTATTGTGGGATGAGTAAAATGCCCAGGGTGGTTTTGTTACAAGATCATCATATAATGCTACCATTTAAAGTGTCTGTGTCCTAGAGAAAATTGCATCCAACAAATATCAGGACTGAATTTGCCCCTTCAAAGTCAATAGTTTAGTAATAGTGAGTCATATTAAACTAAATTGTATCAACCAGAATATTTTTTCTATTAGTTACTTAACACATTTTTTATTAACTGAGCAACCAAATTCCACCGTTGGCCGGACGGCACGAGTGTTACTACTAAGCGTCAGTGGATTAGCAGTACGGCTACCTTGCTACAAAATCCAGTAACGGGCTACACGTAACTCAGCGTCAACTGGTTGGTTGCAGAGAAAACTCTAAAATATAAATACAGAAATCCCGACCTCAGAAAATATACATTCCTTCTAACGTTTAGAAGATTCAAGTTCATTCATAGAAGAGTTTTTTTTTGTGATTGAATTAAAATACTCACGAAAATTCAAATAACATGTAAAAGAAGAACCAAATCAATACTTTGTCATCGTCTAAGATACTTGTCTCAGATAAAGGTCCAAATGTGTGTACCCAAGGTGCAAATTTTCAAGTAGAAGAGTGTTTTCGTACTGATTAAGATCAGCTGTTTCTTTAGCCAAAACCATTGATAAGCCTGATGATCACGGTGTTGCTCAGTCCAGTTTTGAAACATAACAAGCACTCTTTCTGTTCTTTTACCCATCAAATTTAGGATTGTTAGGACAATAATTATAAACTGGAAAGCTATTTTCCCTTATGAATCAAGTGAAATCAAACGGTGACAGTTTTTTTTAAGTGTTTACCTTGACATGTCCTCCCTTCTACTTCCTCGTCTGTTTGTAAACGGAAGTTTAAAGTTTCTGAAAAACCTTCTTTTTTGCTTCCCATCTTCATCGAGAGATTCCTGTAAATATTTCACAACTTATGAGTCTTAGTACAACTACTAAATAATATTTAGTGCATTCATTTTTGTGATAGTCCTAAATATTGAATTAATATAACACTCTGGAACAAGGAGAGAAAATTAACATTATATACTCATATAATATATGTGAGAAGTTAAATTAAGCTATTATTGTTGACTTAGGATAGGTTGGAATTACCTGGTTACTGTCAAAACGATCCTAGGTAGTTTACAACGACTACAGCTGTTTCGTGCTGTCAATAATGGAGCACATTTTATATTTTAACAATTCATCCTGACAAACTTCACCATGAGGTATTCATACAAGACATTTGAACCTGAAGGCGTGCTCCATTTTCGACAGCCTAAACATTTTAGAATACTGACTAACCTACAGCCCATCTGTACAAGAATGGCCGTGCTACCCCCTCTACTTCACACAGAGATCAAACGGAGGATACTTTCTTAAAGATCCTTCTACCAAAGAGAACAATTCTATCTGAACCTACTTCAAAACGAAGACCAAAGATTTGTCCATATACTCCCTAAATACATGGACCCACAGTTTGAGATGTGTTTTACAATTCACTAACCTTATCTCCTCGCTCAGCAGTCTTGTCGAAGCTGATGCTTTTAGGTATGGCTCCAGTGGAGACTAGTGGTTTGGCAACGGAGCTTGGCGGAGTCTCCATCATCACAACGGAGCCATTCAACACCAGCGGAGTGGCTGGCGAACACAACTCTGAAACAACTCACATAGATGTTAAACTGTTGATAGAACTGGGCATGCCATTCCCATGTTGAAGTTGTGGCCAGGTAATAAATTTAGCCTCCAACAGAGAGCGCTTTACTTAATTATAGATTTATATCAGATCCGACAACTTTTCAGCCAAGTGAAACTGATAGGACAACTTATTGTAGCTATATCATCTTTTATGTCACAAAAACTATTTCAGTAACACAAACTAAGGGAGAAGATAGAATTCCAGATTTTATCTGTGGGTGGCTCGTTCATCTATCTTCTTTTAAATAAAAAAATAGGCTACAGATATTCGATTTACAGTAGATGGGATGTAGATGGGGTTACCTGGTGTTTTGTGCCTAGGCTCTGAGCTGCTGCCGCTGCTGCTAGTTGACGCAAGACTAACTGTGCTTAGACATACAGTTGCAGCGTTGGTGGCCGCGTCTACCTCCTCCACAGACACCTGGACAACAATGTTGTATTCAGACATTTAGTGATGTTACAGATTTAGAAGCTGGTGTAAAAACAATAAATGCAGGTAAATGAAGATTAAACCAAACATAAGAATTTTCACTACTTCAAGGTCTTGAATAGGTTTGAAAACAGAAAAACTTAATTATTATAATTTTCAGCATCTTTACAATATTTTTCTCATGTTATCCGACCTTTCTGCTTATATAACCATGCTTTAGTCGATGCAGGACGGATTGGGACTAAGCTTTACTTAGTATCACTGCAAAGGAGATTCCAAACAGATTTAACAAATGTAAAATTAGATGTTACGTTAACTTTAGCAAAACATGTGTAAAAATTTAAAAAATTTATAATTAACCGCCGTGTTACCTCTTGGCTGGCAGTGTGAGCCACCTTGAACTGCCCACCCCTTGAATGCGACTGTGTCTGAGATTGTGACTGTGACTGCGACTGCGACTGAGCCTGTGGTGTCCGAGGTCCCAGAGTGTTGACAATGGCGTGTGTCGACGCAACCAACGCTGGCTTCAGCTCTGGCGGCTTGTCTGACGACGCACCTTCATTAGGTGGTCCTGAGAAAAATTGGAACATAGAAAATAATTTTGAAAAAACAGTTTGTCAAAAAAAGCTAACAAATAGCTAGGCCTAGTTACTAAACATCTTAATTCATTCGTATAATTTACATTTTGAGTAGGCCTATACGTAAATGTTCAAAAGCATAATTACCTACTTAAAATTAAGCATATATTATCTAAGAAAAAAATAGTACAATGGAACAAAACTTAAAATTAGAAAATCCTTGCACAAAAAAGGTAATATTAAAACATTTGAAACAATAAATCATTGCTCAGCCCAGAAATATTTAAATTTATAAAGCTTTTTATGTCTAATGTTATTTGTATTTGTTGTCGCCCCATATATTTAAAGTCCTACCCAATATACGAATGAACCAAAGAAATTGAATTAAGTGGTTTTAAATCCCACACAGACAACCTGTTTGGAGCAGAGACTGCTGAACAACATTAGAACAGACCTCATTTACATGACTAGACCAAGAACGTTTTCTATCCAACAGAGTGCCAAGGAACTTAATATTTTCTGTAAGATCAACTGTTTTAAGGCACTCCACTGAATATGCATTTTTCATTGAATTACCAAAAATTTTATGAACACGATATTAATTACATTAGGTAAAAGATTAAAGTTTTAATTTTCATTAACTTTGTAGACTTTATTTTCTAATTTTGATACCTCTCGACAACGGTAAAACCCCCTTAGAGTCATCCCAGTTTCGTTATGCAAGGAGCTGAGTGTATACTAACCTTGCTTGTATGAGTGCAGGTTGGAGTCGACGTATTCCACGGTGCGTCGTCTGTAGTCAGCCTTCCCCCCTCCCTTGCCTGTCACATTCCACACAGGATGAGGAACCTCCACCTTACTGGGAGACACAGGTGGTATTTGACGGAAGACTAGAAAACCATTGTAATGTTGTGATTGTTATGTTAAACTTAAAGGGCAAAGCCAACAGAGCAAAATCAATATTTAGAAAAACACATTATCCTTATTTTGACCAACAATCATCTACATAGTTCATGCAACAAAAACATACTAAAATACAAACTCTAACAGTGTTCATTTTCGAAGTAGGCTAGGCAATAAATTACATTCATTCAGCTACCAGAAACCATTCAAATCAACCAAAAGTATAATACTTAGAATTGAAACATGTTTAAATTTCTCAGTCATTGCTTTGTCCTTCCAAAAAATCCACTCTATTCTGAGCTGTACAATGTGCTGTCTGCAAGCTATACGATGTTTAAATGCAAATAATGTCAATTATAAAAGAAGTGAATTCAAAGAGCCTTTAATTTAACTGTAGATTTTATAACACCCTTTTGGTTTCAAGAAAAGTTTTATCACTAAATTTTCTTAATTTAGATTTAATTTTAATTTTATTGTTTTATTTTTTAAATTAAGGTATTTTAATCCAGACAATGAACCTATTCTGTATAATAATAGAGGTTTATGAGCTTGAGATTACCGCTTGAGTCGAGTTTATACAACAGTTTATATAAGGTAGTTTAATTAAGACTTTTAACTAACCAAACATAACTACATTAGACATTATTTTAACAACTCACTTGGGCCTGTAGGTATTTCTTCCACCACTTCCGAGTCACCTCTGCTTTCAACTTCCGACCGTGCAGTATCGTCTGACCTGGACAGTACAACATCAAGATTAATCAATGGTAAACATAGACTTTGGGGTTCGATCCAAGTAAAACAAATTGAACTTGATCTATAACATTCATCCGAGTACCATAACGTATTCTTGTTTTAATTCAAACTACATTAAGGTGAATTAAACGCTGATTGATACAGACTTTGGTGTTTGACCCGGCTTCAAAATTAAATTTTATTAATCCATTATATTTTTTCCCATCGGAAATCCTTGTTTCGCTTAAAACCATAGAAATTAAGGGATCGGTGCAATTTTGCCAAATTTGTGTGAAAGAAACTGGGATTGTAACCTATCATAGTTTTAATAATAAAAAAAATATTAGATACAGTACAACTCCAACTATTCAGATAAATTGGGGCAGGACCACATTCAGATAATCAATCTTGCCGATTTTTAAAAATTTCTCATTGAGGTGATCTCGATAGTTGACGATCCAGATGATTGGAGTTAGGATAGTTAAAAGTTGTACTGTATAATTGTAAAATGTTAATTGTGTTACCTGGCCACACTTGCTGTATCGTCAGTGTCCACCTCCGTGAGACGTTCGGAGTCAGACGCAACAACGTCGGTGCTCCACGCCTCACTGGCGGTCTCCGACACATCCAGCAGCTGTAATTCATTCACGTCAGAAACTAGGGACATGAGTACTTTACACGCAAGGATGGACATGATAGTGTTTTTGGTTTGGGGCGATTAGGGGCTGATTTTTAGGAACAGGATCTGTATTGCAGTGCAACAAAAGAACTTCTAATTAGTTAAAAGCCTTAACTAAAAATTCTAGCAAATTGCAAAAAATACAAACGAAATAGATTTTAAATAATTATTGCACCGTTACATGTAAACCAAGAATGGAAAATATATTAAATTAGAGGTTGTCCAGTGGTTGAAAACTCAAACAAAAATATGTAATGTACAGACTTCTCTATTTTCACCCTACGCTGTAATTATCAAACATGTGATTTGGAATTTCTTCCATTTGTTTAGATTTTCTGTTTGTATTCTGTTGTTATTTCGTCACCAGCATGGCAACCCATAAGGCCCAAGTATTTTTTTTTTCTTATTGTTTAGCCTATTTTTATTTATAAAGGTATTCTGCACATCTACAGTAAAATATCTTTATATCTGCGTAGATTTTCCCTGCTATGAACACAATCTGAGAAAAAAGGTTTTAAAGAAACATGCTTGCATATTAATATTATAGATAAGCAACAAAAACCGTTCACCCAAAAAATTCATGGGCTATTTGAAATTTAACCGTGCAACATCAGTTTTATTAAAAAACCCCACTAGCTAATCACAAAATAATAAGATATTTAAACTGGATGATGCTGCATTTTTTTAACTGTTGAGGGTTTTAGGCCTGATTTGATTACCAGTAGAAAATCAGAATTAAATTTAGCAATCACAAATACTTTAATGTATTTACATGAAACAATGCCTATAATGACTGTATCCGTGAACTTGACCCCATCGTGAACATGTCCAGCGAAGTCGACGCCATCTTTAACATCTCCCCCATTTGCGGTGCCGTTGTAGACAACTCCCACACTAGCGGTGCCTTTGGGAACATCTCTCGCAATCTCAGAGACCATGGAAGATGTTCACGTGATTACAGTGACCGCAGATGATGTTATAATAGTCTTGTATTTCATGGACACTAATTGAATTTTGTGAGGTTACTCAATGCGTTTTGAATCCATATTACAGAAAAAATGTACTTTTGATTTTATATTCACCTGTGGTCCAGGCAGTGTCTGCACAGGGGGATCTGGAGGTGGGGGCTGTTCTATAGTCTCACTGTCACTAGCCAACACATCCGTACTCCAAGTGTCACTGACTAGGGAGACTGTCTCATCTCCACCTACATACAAAACAACATTCCTGTAGCAGAATCACCAGGGAGTAGTCTATCATAAATTTGGAAGCGTAGGCTATCATAATTCAGTATCTGGAATTTGTCATTGTAAATTACAACAGAGACATTAAATGAGGTCATTGTTATTTCTTGACAAAACTACAAATGAAGAATATTTTGATTTGATTTTATTAAATAATAGGTTAGCTGTAGTTTTAAGGTCTTACTGAAATAGCTCAAAATAGCTCTTTGGGAAAACAAACTTAAACATCACAGAGCGATTATACAGGGTGACATCAAGGAAACCGGACGTTTTTTAAACAGCTGTCCCATTGTTGCCTCACGTAGTAGGAAGATTGAGGTTATGTTATTACCTTCAGTGAGGCTTGCCATTTTTGTTGAAATGGCTCAGTGGACCCTAGACCATCGTGTTTTCGCATACGATACTTTGGTCCAAAATGGTGAATCCGTCGACAAATCCAGCGGGAATTCAGTCGAAATTTTAATATTGAACGCCATGGAACGGTTCCAAGCCAAAATACGTTATTAAGATGGGTTTCAGGGTTCCGAACGACTGGGAATATAACAAGAAAGAAACCACCAAGGAGCCTGTTTATGTTCACAAACCACGCACCCTAGAGGATTTGAAGTTGGCAATCACAGAAGGTATCAATTGCATTGAACAAGACCTCCTGACCCGAGTTTCAGAGTTTCAGATGATTTTCAGACAAGAATGAACATTTGTAGAGAAGTACATGGCCGCCATAAGCATGACGTCATTTTCAAAAAATGACTGTTTTGTAACAAATGGCAAATGTTTACCTCACTATGTACAGTATTAAAACCATTTTATTCCTTTTAACTACTGAGTACTACTTATTTAAAAAACGTCCAGTTCCTTTGTGTCACCCTGTATGACTTTGACTTGGCATAATGACAGAAACCCCTTGATTGTGCTTGAAATTGACTGAGCCAATCATTTTCAGGCCCAATTATCCTTGGCACAATCTAAAATCAGGATGGGTAAATAATTAATTACGAGTCTATAAGTTGTAATCTAGACATTGTGACCTTGGATTATGGGTAGGACATTGTGTGGAAGAGAGAAAATCCATTTTGGAAGCCTATTTTGAAGGGAGAAGGTGAGGTCTTTTATGCGTTCCTGATCAAGCAAATTAATTATTTACTCAACCTATATGATTAGATTATAATCTACTTACATCCTAACTGTATAAAATATCAACAAAAATCATTTTGTCATGAGCATTTTCCAAAATATATTTTTTGCTGACAGTTATAACAAAATTTGTTCATCGGGCCTATGACAAGTAGGGAAAGAATTAACATTAATTGTTACCTTCCATGAGCTTTTTTATTTGGAATTTGCCGAATTTGTCGTCCAGGTCAAAGCGACTCTGCTTGGCAGTGGTGGGGGGAGGTACAAACTCCAGCGGTTGTCTAGGCTCTTCTGCTCCTCCGTCGCCTTCTGTCATCTGCGATGAAGGTGTGTCTCTACCTGTGACAGAGCATGCCAATTATGGTCCAAAATGTTCAATAGCCTGGTTATTTATATTTAGTAAATTGGTTAAATACTGTTGTTTCAGATAAATATATCCTTGTAGCCTAATTTCAATTTGATTTAATTCAGTAGTGCTCCTCAATGGTCTGATTCTCTTGGGGAACAGGAGTAATACAACTGTGATGTTTTCTTATTTCAGAATAATGCTCTTAGTAACCAGATCAGCACTCCATGAATATTGTAGACTTTTGTTTATAAAAACAAAAATTTAGCCATCAACTTGTATGAATACATGTGTGTTTACTTGATTTTTAAGTAAAATTAAGACACTTTGCGATAAGGAAAGATTTTCATTTTCATTACACTAGCTCCAACTCCTTATCTGAAATTCTATCCAATATTTTTAACATATTCTTGACTGGATTCCTTTGTCATCTTTTATTATTATCATACAATATTGTTATATTGATCATAATTTTTATGCCTGACAACAAAAAGGATTTGTTGAAAATAGAGAGAACACAGTCCTTGTCACCACACATACATTTCACAAACGCACATAAAAAATTTTTGAATACAAATTAAACTAAAACAAAAAAATTAAATCTTATCCAACTAAAATTTACATGCTGACAAACTTACATTGTAGCCTCAAATAACTTAAAACGCAGTCACTTTCAGGATAAGACAAATGGAGAAAAGGCTGGGAGGGTTAAGGAAGAGGGTAACTGAAACATATGTATGATACACTTAAAAATATACACTATATTTAAAAAGCTACACAGTGATAAAATTAAATTCATACTTGGTAAACCACAAATTGTGCAGCACACTAGACCAAGGAAAACATTTTACAGTAAAACCCAGTTAGGCTAAAGTAAAAGAGGTGAGGCCTATAAATACATACATTATTATTATTATTATTATTTTATGGCCAGCATTGGACCACTTAAGTCAATATAATGGTTAGATTCTTTTTAAATTCTGTCTCTTCTTCTTGTCCGCCCAATACTTCTTCATTCTTTCTGACCGTTGTTTTCTTTCTTCTTGCGAAACCACTCTTCCTTGTCTACATAGTTAGACATAGTTAATTCATAGATAGTTAATAAATATTTGTCATTTTAATTACGAATACAGCCAGTGGTAAGTATGAGTGTTTTTAAATCATATAAAAGTACCTACAACATATCTTCCTGGAAACTTATTTTTCACGATCAAATTGCTCACCAAACAGTGCAGAAGTTTGTGTCTTCAATTCTGCAACACACTCGGTGCAAGCTTAGGGACTCCTTCAATATTAATTTACAAAAGTTAATATCCTTTTAGAATTAACGTTTGCCCTGGAAGGATGATGAAAGATGTTATGTATTACCTGATATGTTAGGAGAGCCGCGGCCGGAGACGTTGGCAGAAACCATGTCCGACAAGTTGTCGTTCTGATCTTCCTGCTCCAGCTCTAGTGACGAGGCAACGCTGTGGTTGGATGCTGCCTCGGACACTGCCTCCAGATTGTCACTGGTGTTGCCTGCCACAACAACACAAGGTGGCGTTATTTTTGTCTCACCCTAGCTTCCTAGGACGTAGAATCTAGCTCGGAACCCTTTCACACATTACTAGGCCTAAAGAGTTGTAACATTATTACTTAGATTGAATCCATTGGTAACTGACGGGATTTAAACCCGGGAATTTGAGGACCATAGTCCTGTGCTCTACCACTAGGCCAGCTCAATCCCGAACAAGTTGTATTTAGTAAAACCATAGATTTAATGTACCCCATTATAGTTTTCCAAAGTAAAGGATCCAGGTCAGGGTAAATTTGAGAGTAATTGAATAGCAGCTAGATTACCTTAAACAAAAATCAGTTAGGCCACAGTACAAATACTGTACTCGAAGAAGACAGAAGAAAAACTAACACTGCAAAGACACTAAAATACCCCCGCCGCAGCAAACCTGCAGACTATGTGAATTTATATTTGCCTTACTGGATTTACACTAAAATCTCATAAACAAGCAAACTACAACAGTTTACTTATTCTCCATAAGAATAACATGAGAATTTTAAATTTATAGATTTTTGGAAATTCCTCCGTTTAACCATTAGGCGCATAACATCGCTTCAATGTACTAAATTATTTGGTTTTTTTTAAGCTCTAAAAAATTGTTTAAAAAGAAATTGCTAAATTTTGAAACACATTAAGGATTTTGTTTATTCATCAAGGTGTTAAGAAAATAAAATGTGATTTTGCAGATATGTTCAGAAGCAAACCGAGGCACTAAGTAAAATAATAATTTAATAACACTGATTATAAAATATTCACCAATAGAGCCATCATCGTGTGACAATGAGAACCTTGTCCGTTTCTCCTGACTGTCCGTGTGATCAACATCAGTAATGAGGACATCACATTCTCCTGAAGTCAGATCTCCTGCCAACACCTGTGATAAAAAAATCAAATGGTTTGTATTATAATCATCACAAGGTATGGTTCAGTTTTCGGTTGTCATTTTTTCTACTCAGAAAAAAAATCAAAACCGAGAATTTTTGATAAATATAGATTTAGGTTATTTAATTTCGGTGTTTGCGGGAGATGATAATCAAGTCTGAATGAGAGAGGAAGACTTAAAAGATTCATCGATTTATGTATATTGTCTCTATTTCCACGGGATACGATCATGTCTTTTTGATCGCGGAGGACGTTCAAGATATTGCCGCAATCGTGACATACGATGATAATGTCTTCCCAATCACGGAGGAAGTTCAAGAGGATGTCAAGATTTTGCAGCATTCACGGAATAAGCTCTCAATAATTTAGCTGCGATTGCAGGATACGATTATGTAAACTTATGGTAAACTCGTTGGTGTTATAAAAATTACATAATAATATTCACTAAAAATATTCAATGTTAAAAAATACTATGAAGTAGGGCCTATTTGATTTGAACCCAAAAACAATATTTACACACCAATAATATCCTCAATTAATGTTTATGTTAATCAATTGATTTGATCAAGAAGTATGAATGTTTCATTACAGTAAATTAGGGCAAGTACATTCTACTGAAGAATTTTACAACTGAAATTATCTTTGAACTTTAGCTGAAGAAGTCAAATGATACATTGTACTCCGCAAGTTGCAGTCTTTACATCCGGCATGAGGCCAGGTAATTGGTTATCTCTAGATTTAAGAAATCTAATAAACTGTATTAAACACGTTACCTTCTGCTCAGACAGCAATCCCACAATAGGTTCAGAGTTGATATCAAACGGCAACACAAGAACTGGCTTAGTAGATCGCTCTTCATCCTCAAGATGTTCATTTTCATTTAAACTTATGCTGTTGCGGGCTTTTGTACCTAAAACATTTTTTTCAATCTAAATCAATGATTTAAACTAATTTTTTAATCAGTCTAAGAATGAATAGAACAATAGGAAAAGTATATTTCCGATCTTTGGTTGGAATTACATTTAACTTGGGATTTCCTCGGAAGAGGCTTGTTCCCACTGTCAGCCATTATGCTGCGATCACGATAATCATGATGTCTCTACAATCGGGGGAGGTGGTCATAAACAACTTTTAGATGGGGATGGAATGTGTATAGTTCGGCCACTTAGATAGCGACCTGCACGCTAATGCTAACCAATGGTAGAGGAGGTCGCTATCTAAGCGGCCGAACTATAGTTTTCAACAGTCAACGCTTAAACCTTCATGGTTTGTTACCTTTGCTACTGGAAGGCTGCCTCTTGACTGTCTTGGTGTGTCCGTTAGCAGTCTGGGGCGGCAATGGAGAAATCAGACTCAGCAACTCCTTCTGGTGGGCTTTGTTGGAACTGCTAGACTGGTCATTGGCTACTGTTTGGAAAAAGGATATCTAGAGGACAGAAGAAAAAGTGAAATTGACATGTGTATAATTATATTATATTTATAAATGCCTATCAATAGCAACAAAATTGAAACACTACAAAGCAGTCCACAAATAACATATGCAAGTGAAACTATATTTAAAACTACCAACACTGTAGCAATAGATAAAATACTGAAAATAGAAAGAAGAATCATCAGAACATGCACGAACAGAAAATATAATACCCCCGCCGCAGCAAACCTGCAGACTAAGCGAATTTCCATTTGCCTGATTGGATTTACACTAAAATGTCTACTTAAAAATATAACATTTATTTCCTATTTAAATAGAATTAGTATAACAAGTACTTAGGTTTGCTGCATCAGGGAGGGTAAAACTGTTTTTTTTTTTTTTTTGTAAAATGTTAATAGTTAGTAAGAAATAAAAACATTTTCCAAATTTGATCAAAATATGTTCATAAACAAGCAAACTACAACAGTTTACTTATTCTCCATAAGAATAACATGGGAATTTTAAATTTACAGTTTTTTGGAATTTTCTCCGTAACCATTAGGCGCATAATAACGCTTCAATATACTAAATTATTTGTTTTTTTGAGCTCTACAAAATGGTTTGGAAAGAAATTGCTAAATTTTATGTTTTTTGGGTCAAAAATGGGAAAAACCTATTTTTACCCCATAAAACCCCCCATAAACCCCCGTTCCCATGGTCCGATCATGCTGGATCGCGAACTCGTTCAAATAAACGTAGGTTTACACGTTTGTACCAAATTTTATCAAAATCGGATCATTTTTGCTCGAGTTATCGTGCTAACGGACACATATATATATATATAAATATATAAATATATATATATATATATGAATTTGAACGGATGGTGTTTTTGGCCTCTAGGGACCTCAAAACGAAAAAAAAAATCGGTCCCGCGTCCAGGTCTTACCATGAGTACTACGGTAATAGCTTATTCCCTATATGGGAAATTCGCTAAAAAAAAAGATGGAGTTTGGAGACTGGCCTCAAATAAAACTGTATATAAGGAAATAGAGCCATTGACAAGTATAATTAAAAAGAAAAGAATTTCATTCATTGGACATCTTTTAAGACAACCGGAAAAAAGAATAAGCAAAAAAGCAATAAGCTGTGGAATAGCAAGAGTGACTTTAGGTGGATTACAGAGATTAAGGAGGACATGAGAAGGTTGAAAATATCATTAGAAGATTTGGAAAATAAGTGAGAGGCGCTTGCAGTACTCAAAGACAAAAATATCATCCTGCCAATAGGAGCAAACAATCAGAGACAAGGAAGAGTGGTTTCGGAAGAAGAAAGAAAACAACGGTCGGAAAGAATGAAGAAGTATTGGGCGGACAAGAAGAAGAGACAGAATTTAAAAAGAACCTGACCATTATATCGACTTAAGTGGTCCAATGCTGGCCATAAAATAATAATAATTATTATTATTATATCTACTCTTAATAAATAACTATGAACCTAAAATAGGAAAATGTTACCATATTTTGAATAATGACTTGAGTGACTTTTAAAACTTAACGATATGGTAAACATTCTGTAAATAGACGAGTTTACTAGTTCATTCCCAGATGATTGGTCATTTTCTATTTTTTCAAATTAATTTCACTACTGTAGCAATTGTACAATGCGAGATAAAGAAACTTTTTCTGTAGAAATGTAAGGCTTTTAGTTAATACGTGGCCACGTGAGTAAACATGCTGTCAGTGAGTGACATTAAAACTTTTGTTGTTTTTATTTTATTGTGTTTCGTATATTTAACAATAAGTGACTTACAAGATTCTTCAACTCTGCCTCAGTCAGCAACGCAGCGTTGCGAGTGAGTCCTTGAACTTTGACATCGCCCACTGACGGGTCCTCACTTAGGTTGTTACCCTCTAACATGGCGTCCAGCATGGAAGATACACTGTCCTGCAAAAATTCATACTTTGTCAACACCATGGATATTAAATAATTGACATAAAATACCTCATACATTGTAAATCATTAATTTTTCAATTTAGCAAAAAACACAAACAAAGAACAAAGAGTAAAAAGCAGCTAAATGTTTCTTTAGACTCAAAGAGTCCATACTCTAGGCAAAGAATACCACCCTACCACTCTACCACAATAACTCTGCCCAATACGCCTAAAAAACATCCGGTGCAAAAAACTCCAATCAAAGCCAGTTTTCTTGAGTGTTGAGAAAATGAAGTGCCTATCCAGAATTCAATTTTGCAACATTCATTACTATTTTGTAAATAACTTTGACGGGTGCCAGTTTTCTGGAGTTTTCAACAAATGAAACGCTGGATACGCAGGCTTTTACAATATCATGTTTTACAATAGATTGTAATGACGGAAAATTTGATCTTTTCACGTAATTTGTAAGTTTTTAATTTCATACAAATTCCTAAGTAAGTTGAGACTTAGATGTAAATTGATGAAGAAAGTACAAGGTAGGGATATATGGAGTGAGAAATGTATAAAAAAAGGTTGCATGTATAATATAATCGCTTACTACAGATTAAACAACATCGACAGCTTACAGATTTTAAACTATCCTGTTGAAATTAGAGTAAAAAACAGAAACAACCACAAGTCAATCTGTAGGCTTACATTTGACCCCAAACACTAACCTTGTCGAATTGCGAGTACAAATCTTCGACTTTTGGATCGACTCCTTCATATCTGCGCATGGCTAACATCTGCAGTATTTGAGCTACCTGGATGAGGTTGAACCTAGCGATGTAGCTGATAGGAGCGTCTGTGATGCCGTAGGGCTCAGGGTTGACGATCGCCGGGCAGATGAAGTGTGTCAACACCAAGTCGGTCGTGATTGCAAACACCTGAAACATATTTAGTATTTTAGAAACTGCAATATATATATATATTTTTTAATAGATGTATGTTAAAAAAAGTTAAAGATATCTACACTGCATTTCTTGTATTAAAGCTAAACTAAACATTCAAAGTCAATTTTAGACATTTTTCAGCCATTTTAGGTTTTATCATACATGAAGACTCACTCATTATCAAGGATGGAGTCTAGTAACCTGTTAGGTATGTTTTTAAGATTCAGCGAAGAGGGCTTTTTAAACATAGGACTTCTTTTCGGGTTACTAGATTGTTTCTAGTAAATTTCCCAATGACGTAGTACCTAATATAATAAATATTAAACAATATGCAACACTTTTAGTTCTAACGGCTATGATGATCTTAGGCCGCTATTAGCCAAGAGCAACTGGTGGCACAACTAGTAAAGACACCGGTGTTCAACGTTTAGAGGGGTATGGACTCAAATGGTGCTTATTAGCCGCAGGGAAATCGGTTGCGCCACCGAAAGTGGTCCGTGAAATTGCCAGGAGTGATTTTGCCCGGCAATCAGTGCCGCCACTGTTTTAGTAGCCAGGCAGTCGAGGGGCATTGCAGTATACCATTAGCCGTGGGCAACCGGTGTCGCAACTGACTGCGCGCGCATGTGCTAATAACCTAAAAACAAAGCCTGTCACACAGTCTCCATTGTGGTTCGAGTCAAGTGAGATCGGTCTCACCTTTTATATTGCTGTTCTGCTCATACCAGTGACTTCATTAACAGTTTATTCTTTCCTTTTTTAATTATTGCCATTTTTAGTTGTCTTTAGTTTTAATAAACGATTTTGAATGCCAATAATGAGGTGCCAATTGTTGAGGCAGTAGAATATGAAATCTCAACTCCAAAACCGGGAACTAAAGAAAAGAAAGAAGCTGATGCAAAGAAGCAAAAGGAGAAATTGAAGAGACTTACACAAATTATAGAAACTAAAGTAAACATTGAGGACCGTTGTTTTTTTTCAATAGGAGACAAAGAAGGAGCTCTGAACTGCTCAAAACCATGTTTGACATTAGAGTGCTTTGACGGTTTGAGAGAGCTATGAGTTGCGCCACTAGTTTACAGGTTTCAAAATGCTGTGGGACACCAGTGTAGCCACTAGTGTCTTCACTAGTTGCACCACCGGTCGGTCGCTTATAGCGGCCTTATGAGTTAAGGTCAGCTACAGAAAATAAAAAATTAACATATTTAGGCCTATGCATATTTTTTTTTATCTTTTTGTAAGGCTTCTTTAGTGCTTAAGTGCACAAATTTGACTATTCTAAAAAACCCATAAATAATTCTCTGATAAACATACTAGGCATACTATCCATGGGAAAATTAGTATCAATGAACACACCTCTTTTTCTTGTATGATGTTTGACTTCGTGAGAAGACAGAATATCTGTCGTACAAGCCACGACACACTAGTAGGGAAGCAATGTAGATTTTCCTGCAGACTGACTATGAAGCGTTTTGTGATCGTCACCAAAGACTGAATCGTCCAGTTTCTATAGCTTTGTAAATTTATCTTGTATTCTTGAGTTCCTTCTTTTCCAAATTTCTTTAATCTCTCGCTCGGGGGGAACCTGGAAATGGAGAATTAGAATGGGAAAAATAGGGAACTAATTCAGTTTTGTATGAGTATGAGTATTAAATATGCAAATTTGCTTATTTATACATTCCCTGGATGGCAGGTAGGGTTGGCTACATTATATATGGGCTGTCTGTAAAATTTAGGTCTCCATTGATTTCCCATCATGGCCAAGTGAGCTAATTCAAATACGAGATCAACATTGTGTTTCTTACTTCATTCACTTTTATTCTAGATGGTTCCCAATGAGACAATTAGTCTCCTTATAGTCTTTAAAAACATTGTGAAAGAAAATGTACGCTCCTACCAAGTTTAAATCATATTCAATTTCTCTAGGAAAGGGGCAAATCCCCATTGATCACTAATGTCAGTTGAAATGTGTGTATGGAAAAAAGTGTTTCAACGTAGAAAATGAGCATTAGTAACTTGGGGGGGGGGGGGGGGGGTTTGTAGAAGCCCGTACGGTACATATTTTCTCAAGCAGGCGGGTTTCATCACTTTCCATCTAAACAGTCATAAATAAATCAGTCGTAAATTTGAATGATCAACATTTGCTTGTTGATCGACATGCTTCACACTTCCAGGGCTAACTGTAGTCCTCTATAGTCTAGGCGATTAGTTTGATAATCTCTCTCATTCAGTCAAATCGCAATCCACATGGAAAACTCCCGCAATCGTTTCACAGCATCAAACAAAACCGATGAACAACAGCAGTATGAATAAAACAGTTGAAAAAAAATCCAAATTTTTGATGACTTTTTGAAGGAGAACTTCATCAACCCCTGGCCCAAATTTCTACGTCCAAACACTTTACACTATTCACATCCGTCAACTGGTGATTGACTTCAATTGTGGATGACGAGTGTGACTACAAAAATCGAATCACTAAATGCAATCCGTACTTGGCGAAAGGGTTAATTTTCTTTCACAACGTTTTAATACGTTTAAGAGACCAATTGTGCTATTAGGATGGAAATTGGCTACACCAGTAGTGGATAAGCAAGGAAAATGAAAATGGTCACAGATCCGAACCAGCTCTCTTAGCTACGATGGGAGCTCGTGGAGACCTTACTTTACGGACAGCCTTCGTACAAAGAAAACCTTTTTATTGCAGCCACATACTGAAACAAGTTTGAGTTTGAAAAAATAATTTGTGGAACTATACTATAGTGCAAGGATTGAGGGTAAAAAAAAAATACCCCCGCCGCAGCAAACCTGCAGACTAAGCGAATTTCCACTTGTCTGATTACATTTTTTACTAAAATATTTCCATAAATAAGACATATTTATTCCCAATTTAAATAGCATTAGATTTAACGAGTGCTTAGGTTTGCTGCTACGGGGAAAGTAAAAAGTTTTTTTTTGACCAAACGTCAGTAGTATAGTATGAAATAAATAAATTTGCCAAATTTTATCAACATATATCCATAAACAAGAGTAAACTACAACAGTTGACTTATTCTCCATAAGAATAACATGGGATTTTTAAACTTACACTTTTTTGAATTTTCTCTGTAACCATTAGGCATACAACAATGCTTCAATATACTAAATTATTTCTTTTTTTAAGCTCTACAAAATGGTTGGGAAAGATATTACAAAATTTTATATTATTAGGGTCAAAAATGAGAAAAACCCATTTTTACCCCATAGAACCCCCCATAAACCCCCGTTCCCATGGTCCAATCATTCTGGTTTGCGAACTCGTTCGAATAAATGTAGGTTTACACGTTTGTACAAAATTTCATCAAAATCGGATCATTTTTGTTCGAGTTATCGTGCTAACGGACATATATATATATATATATATTTATATATCAATTTGAACGAATGGTGTTTTTGGCCTCTAGGGACCTCAAAATGAAAAAGTAAATCGGTCCCGGGTCCAGGTCTTACCATGAGACCTACGGTAATAGCTTATTCCCTATATGGGAAATTCGCTAAAACAACAAAAAAACAGAGAAAACTATCTTACCTGATAGCTGCTTTGTCTGGATCAATGTCTAGAAACTGTTCATCCTCCATCAGCAGTTGCATGATAGGGGAGTGAAGAGCTGCAGTCAAGAACAACTTGGCCGAGAACAGACCCTCGTGGAACGCTGAATACAGCCTTGCAAATGTACAAGATCCATGACGCAGCAATCTGTATCAACATCCCATGTATTTAGATTATTTTAGTTTAAATGGACTTTTCCTACTTTATATGGACTTAAAGTAGGCTAAGCTTCATAAAAGTAAATTTTACCTCAAATTAAAACAACTATCCTTTATGACCTTTAAGAACACTAAATCACTAAAACACTAAGAATAGTGTTCAGATATTTATAGGCCTAGTGTTCAGATCATTAGTGTTCAGATCATTGGTGATCAGATATTTAACAAAACTATTGCACCTGTTGCTCGAATTCAAGCGATTGCAAAGTATTACAAGCGTTATTTCAAAACGAATAAAAGTAAAAATTTTCGATGACTTAAAAGAGTCGACTCAAAGATAATGTCATAGATGAAACTCCACTCCAGTTATAGAAACTGAAAACAAACGCTCTTGTGTGTATTATGTGTTTACTATGAACAGCTGTAATTAATACAAATTATTCGTCTGTTTAAGTAAACAAAATCCTTTCTTCATAAGAAACACATTGGGATTTAGATGGCCTGTGGAGCAAAGCCCGAGGACTTTTATTACAGGAATTGGTAAAGGTGGCGTCTATAAAAAAAATACTTAATTTTGACACGTTTGTAAAAAACCGTCCATTATTAACGGAGGAGTAGTGTTTCATAGAAATCAACTTCACGTATTATATATAAGGATAAGATTTAAGTATAATCTAAATTTAACTATTATTTGTACTTGACTATCATATTTACAGTAGGCCTATAGGCCTATCAGAAACTTTACATTTAGACTCTTAAAATTTTATGGTTATTTAGCTTCTACGAGCAATAAGTAATCAATCACATATTCACTAAAACACTCAGAATAGTGTTTATAAACCGCCTACTTACTATTTGGACTCCAGTACTAACTAAATATTATATTTTCTACTAAGTAATATTATTTCAATGATTTCAATTTCATACCATTTTACAGTTACCTGTATAGCAAATTAACTAGGTACAGACTTATGCAATTACAGCAATTAGTATAATTGCTCCATTTTGGGACCCAACCACAATGTAGCCATCGTAGTAGGCCTACTTTTTACACAATAAAAACAACAAAACATCTAATTTTAAAATAAAATTCCGATAATAACGATGTACCTTCTCGGGTCATCTGAAGGAACCAGCTGTAGCTCAGTAAGATTTTTCAAGAGACGAAGGACGATTACTTTGTCTTCTGGAAGGAGACAACTTCCAAACAGTCCTGACACAAGGGAGTTGATTATCTGCCCCATAGTCTCTGGCAAGAGTCTCTCTCCGGCCACCAGGGACGAGGCGAGCAGGTCGGGGGAAGATCGTAGACACTTCAAAAACTCTCCGTACAAAGCTGTCTCCTAGACATAAAAAAAAATAAGTAAATTGTTGTTTTAGTCACAAATCAATCATTTAAATAAATATATAGGATGGAGAGGACACAGCTAACTCACCTGATGAAAGGTTGCAGACGAGTCAAAGAACACATAAAACACACACATAATAATACTTGATATTTCGCCTCTTTCAGAGGCTTCTTCAGAAGTAGGCCTAGATGTCAGTTACAAGAACAACAGTTTTAAAAATTGTTTTTTTTTTACTGTTCTTGTAACTGCCATCTAGGCCTACTTCTGAAGAAGCCTCTGAAAGAGGCGAAATATCAAGTAGCCTATTATTATGTGTTTGTTTTATGTGTTCTTTGACTCGTCTGCAACCTTTCATCAGGTGAGTTAGCTGTGTCCTCTCCATCCTATATATTTATTTAATCCAAGCTAAATGCTTTTTCCTAAAAACATAACCTTAAATCAATCATTTAGCATTAATGAAATAAAACTTTGTTCCAGCACACAAGACTAACCATTGCTCTTTGATACTTAAGTAGACATCCCATCAAAATAGGATCTAGAAATAAATTTTAGAACGCACGTAAACAGTTGAATGAGCCACTCATAAAGTGTGCAACGATTAAATAAAGTTACAACGACAACAAGTAAACTGTTGTAGTTTGCTTGTTTATGAACATATTTTGATTAAATTTGGAAAATGTTTTTATTTCTTACTAACTATTAACATTTTACAAAAAAAAATAGTTTTACCCTCCCTGATGCAGCAAACCGAAGTACTTGTTAAACTAATTCTATTTAAATAGGGAATAAATGTTATATTTTTTAATAGACATTTTAGTGTAAATCCAATCAGGCAAATGGAAATTTGCTTAGTCTGCAGGTTTGCTGCGGCGGGGGTATTTCTTATTGAGATAGTTAGCGACACAAAAAATGCTAAATAGTAATAACTAGTTAACCACCCGTGCTCCGCCACGGGAATATTGTCAGCAATAAAAGAAATAATAATTAACAAATACTGTTTATCTTTGTATTTTATTTAGGGGTTGTTTAATTTTTACATGAAATAGAACTGATAGTTTGCCTGTATAAACTATTTTATGTTAATCAAACCGATATATTATTTTAACCAAATGAATGTTTTATATTAATTTGAGTTTCATTTGAAAAATAAATAGTATATGAACTGGGCAATGCTGATAACCTAATAAGCAGCTATTTATGATATTTAGATAATTTGTTCAAGTATATTCCTATATTCGTAGTTTTTTTTCATTACATTTGTTGTATAGAATAAAGATAGTCACTTAGCCTACATGTAAATCACGCATCAGCAGTTGGTCACATTACACGAATCTTTGACCCATACTGTGAGTAAAAGCTGTGTTTACGTCGTATATATAACTTTGGTCATACTTTGTTCAATGTTAGAGGGTATTAATGGTCCAATTTGATGGAAAAGGAGTCGTGGATTTTAAAACTATGTAGACTACCACTACCAGAAAGATGTTGATTCAAGTGAGACTTTGAACTGGCCATTTCAAATGCAGATTTGTATTATATTTTACTCAAATAGTTTTTTTGTCTCTTTTGACCCTTAATACTTTTTTTATAGTCGCTGTTGATAAGATTTTCCTTAAACTCTAAATGTTGATAAGGAGTTCATTTTACCTTCCCCTTGTGACAACATAAGAAAAACATATTTGTGTCCCAGTTAGTCTGTTCTGACTCAATCAAAATTCATAGATTTGCAGTACTGACAAATCCAATCTAACGACCCCAATTCAAAAAATTGGTATTTTTAGAAGGGACTTCCAGAGCACATTTAACACCATCACTGCTCTTTACCTTTTTAGTTCGATGGTTCTCTACATGTTTTTTTTCGTTCTGTTGTCACTTTACGCCCGGTTAATGATTACCTTTTCTTTTTCTTTTTGTACTTTTCACATCCTGGGGTTAATGATAAAGTTGTGTAACGCTATAATGTACGTATACTTCTTCGCCAGAACCGAAATCGTAAGTCACAGTTTCTCAAGCAACTTCCCTGTGTAGGCCTACTCGAAAAAATATAGTTAGGGTATAGTTTACTGATAAATTGTAGTTCCAAATATCCCAGCGTACTCGCCATCTCGAGAAGGTAAAATTTGGATGTCGAACACCGATCTTGAGTAAGATTAATCACTTACGATAAAATGTTTGTATGTTTACCAATCATTAGCAATTATCTGTACAACTTGCAAGCGGATTTCACTATGATTGTTCTGGTGGCTATAGAGAATAAATTATATTGATCAAAACAATAAGTTTCCGTCCCCTAATATGGGTATTATTTCACATTCCATACTCAAACTTAAACTCAATTACCACGTTCCTTCAGATCACTTTGCAGGAAAACTAAAACATTTTTGTGTCCCAGTTAGTCTGTTCTGACTCGAAATTCATAGATTTGAAGTAGTGACAAATCCAATCTAACGACCCCAATTCAAAAGAGTTGGTATTTTTTTTGTAGGGACTCCCAGAGCACATTTAACACCAACACCGCTCTTTACCTTTTTAGTTCGATGGTTCTCTACAATTTTTTTCGTTCGGTATGTCTCTTTACGCCCGGTTAATGATTACCTTTTCTTTTTCTTTTTGTACTTTTCACACCCTGGGGTTAATGATAAAGTTTTATAACGCTATAATGACCGGAGTCAACATTACCATTAAACATCAAGTCACATAGCCTACTTCTTCGCCAGAACCGAATGGTAAGTCACAGTTTCTCAAGCAACTTCCCTGTGTACTTGAAAAAAAATTCACTGATATATTGTAGTTCCACGTATCCCAGCGTACTCGCCATCTTGAGAAGGTAAAGTTTGGTACCACTGAACGTCTAACACTGATCTTGAGTAAGATTCGTCACTCGTCACCTACTATAAAATGTTTGTATGTTTCCCACTCATTAGCAATTAGCAATATGTACAACTTGCAAGCGGATTTCTCCATGATTATTCTGGTGGGCGTAGAGAATAAATTATATTGATCAAAACAATAAGTTTCCGTTCCCTACTATGGGTATTATTTCACATTCCATACTCAAACTTAAACTCAATTACCATTTTCCTTCAGATCACTTTGCAGGAAAACTAAAACATTTCAAAAATAAGTTAACAAATACACTCTCCTTGATCAAAATCGTGTGTTTATAAACAGAAACTCCAAGTTTAATAATTGCATACTGAAAGTGAGGTTATAAAAATAATAACAAATGTCTGACAAACATTAAAACAGCTGACGAATAATTTATAAACTGTGTATTATATTCTTCAATAAGAATTGTATTGACTCGACCTTTAAAGGGCTGTAGGTCGTAGCCCTTAGAAAAAACGTAAATTCTAAGGAAGTTCGGCAAATCTACACACTATCCCCTTTAATTTGAGACATAAATCTTGTAGATCGGTCCAGTAATTACTGAGAAAACAGTGTTACAACTGTGTATTAAATATATAGATTTGTAGGCTAGTCTCTATTTGGCCAAAGTTTGGCATATTCAACCAAAACAAGGAACTAAAATCAGCTTTCTCTGTCAGTGACTCAGTTCAACTACGTTCATTTTATTTTAAAACTGAAGAATTACATGGGAAAGGGATATAAATTTCTAACAATAATCAAAGGTATAAGTTGACATAATAAGTAAGGAACCTATATGAAGGTCTAGATTATTCATTTAACTTTGACTAACTGTCACTAACAGAAATTTAAAGAAATTTAATCACTTCACTGAGATAATGACAAGTTAGCAAGCTATCAACAACCCACAACTACAAGGATTTAAATGCATAACGTTTGTTATACCTCTCACAAGCTTGTCAGTTATCAAAAATACCAAATATACAGTTGGGTGGCCACAGAACTCCTAGGAAAAAATCACAATATTTCCCTGTTTTCCTGGCCAAAAATCCAGTTTTTCCTGTTAGTGGTTTCTGTTCCAATACATTTATCTTTGGCCATATTCACAATAATGTGATTTTTCCAACGCATTTGAAAAGATCTGCTACTGCTTCATCAATGAAACAGGCCTGCTAGCATTTGATTGCTTAAATATTGAGTACGATTCTGAGCACTTTTGAGACCAAAAAAAAGACATTTAAATATGGGAAAACTGTGACAATAATAAACACACCTGAAATCCCAATATTTTGTGAGCGTCGACAAACTGTGCAGATTCGAGGGCGTGAGCGCGCTGACAACACATGGCTGGCGAGCAGTCCGGCCGAGACAGGACAAGTCGGTTGAGGTTGACACGTTGTTGGAACACAACCCACGCCAGCTGCGCGAGCCGTGACGATGTCAACACAACCTTGGAAAAGAACAAGTCATAAGCATACCGTACCTGCAAACACTTTTTTTTACAATTAGGCCTACAAATTTAACAAAGTAAGAGTAGTGACATAATGAAAAGGTATGTGGTTTTATCTGCTCTCTGACATTCATGGGCCAACATGGTTTACTTATAGCTATTTATTTTACAAGTGTAGTAAGAGCGTTTTTACATCACGCGAGTTGCATAATTCACTAAGTGATGTAAACACGCTCTTGCGTAACGTGTAACGTACAAGATTTTACCTGACCCGACAATATACATGGGTTTACGTACAATATTTTTCATTAACCATTTCACTCATCTTCTAACAGTAACGTTCTTTTACAAACAAAAGCTAGGTTAGGAAAATACTTTAAAGCATAACAATAGCCTAACATTCAAGCGCACAGCTGATTTCTAGCGTTGAATGTCATTGGCTCCATAGAGGTATATTTTTTAAGTTAAGCAATCAATGTTATTTAAATGGGTTTCTTATATCACCGAGAGAGTTTTTCATACTTTACATCACTCGAGAAGTAAGGAAGTTGTATACATCACGCTTGGGATAGGGGAGTTTAACATGGCGGGTTAGGTAAAATTAAATAATCAACTTAAGACTATACCGGTACGTGGTATTAATTACGATCGATTAACATAATCCCATATGTGCAGTTAAATAACTTAAAGAACATAAATTATACCTTCTCAGACGTATTAATACTTCAATGCTAAATAAAGTGAATACAAATTATTGAGTTTAACTTTTGCATATTAATTACCTTTTCATTGAGCTCTTGCAGGTGTAGTTGTTCAGACAAGATGAAAAGACGTTCTTGCCTCAACCTTCCAGCAAGCTCAATCAAATCCGCTAACATCAGGGTGTTATCCATATTGCTAAAACGAAGAAAATACCAAAGTTAAACCCTGTACCATTAACAAAGAAAATATTCATCATATAACTTAGGCCTGTCACTCAATCCTTTCATCTTCAACATAAGTTATATATTCTACTTCCTGTTTCTTTGGTACTTTGGTATTTTACGGAGGCCACCTTTAAATAGCACACTGCGGCAATTATGTTAGGTTGGGTTATCATAAATAGAAAGATCATACTACTAGGTCTACTTTAATTGACTTATTGTCCATAGCCTATTTGACATGATTACAATTAGCGGCCTTTGAGTTCTGCCTTCCAGAAGGCAGCGATGTCGGCGAGGATTGAGTTTGAATGTGTCGCCGCCGCTAGCTGCCACATCAGATACAGGCGGTGACAGTTAATGCATGATCTCCGGTCAACGACCTCACCTTGGCCTATTTGGAGGAGATTTGGCGAGCGAAAGTATGACTCATCAGATATTGTTTGATTCATAATGAAACGAGGAAAGTCCTACAAACATATTTATGATAACCCAGCCTAACATAACCGCCGCAGTGCGCTGTATAAGGGTGGCCTCCGGATAATACCAAAGTACGGTACCAATTTTTTCTGTAGTAGCAGTCTGAATAGTGTTAATTGAGATTCCTATTTAGTTTGTTTTAACATTATGGGCTATATCACAAGCTTTGCAGCCAAATGTGAAGTCATTCGTAAAGAAGGGGAAATGATTTACATTGTTTCATACTTTTTGGAGGTTAATAACTTATAGCATGTTATTGTTACGATCCAAAATTAACTTAAAGGGATAAAAATTAATGACTGCATAGATTACAGTAACTAGGCCTAATGCTAGTTAGGCCTTCAAGAGCCATATCCCATGAGCTAGGGTAGTTATTCCTAGGCTAGTACAGTATCTAGCTATCCTTTTATTAATACTAGGTATAAGTTAATAAGTCTACACCAAATTTAATACAGGGTAAGATCAGATTTCCATGTCAAAGGGAAATCCTAAAAAACTGCAATGTAAAGTCGTAGCCCCTAGTTTATTTGTTTAGGTTATGTTTCTACTTCATTGAATCACTAAAATAGGGAACAGTTCCGCAGAGAACCTGAGATATATCATTGGTTTTGTTTATTTGATAGGCCTATATAACGATTGCGATTTGGTTTGATAATATCGCTCCTACAAATTTTTCCCCGTTGTAAACATTGAATTATTACCTATCTGTTTAACTAAAGTTTTTATTGCTGTTTACTGTATAGTAAATGTAAACTTTGAATAAAGTAACTGGTCTATACATTTTTATTGATGTTTAATAGATGAACCAAACTAACTTATCAATATTAGGCCTAAATCAAAAACGATATATAAAAACGCTATTTACCCCCAAATTACTTAACATAGGCATACAACAGCATCTATCCTCCTCTAACACAAGGTTGGTGTGTGGCTTTGTCATGCCTATTGATATGGAATTAGGCCTAACAGAAAAATAACAAAGGGGTAAACATAAACATTGCCTGGATACTCTTCATTATAAATTAATACAACACTGTTTTGGTTTAACGGGACACTGGTGTTACCACTTAAGTTATCTCGCCAAGGCCTTGTATTAGAGGAGGCTATGCCTTTGGTGATTGACTTGCCTACTGTGAAAACTGCATACCAAGGCCTACTGAAGAGGGTAAGTTATTACCTTGAAGCGAGATAACCGTCTTTACACAAATATTCAGTCGAATACAAAATCCTTTGTGGACACTTTCATATAAAATAAACTGGATTAAGTTACGGCAACTCAAGTTTAATACCGTAGCCTAGTGTTCATTGCAATAGGTAACTTAAGTAGGCCTAACTTAGGCCTAGTAAAACACTGGGAGCTGAATAAATTGGAAGATAGGGTTACAATTGAGCCTATAACTTAAACTTAGGTCATTTTAACCCTACTCTCATGTCTGTTGTTCTTTTTTGAATATTGACAAGTAACTTAAGTTTAGGTACTTACGGTACTTTTTAAAACAAAATGGTGCATGCGTCCAAATATAAGTTACTTTTAGGATAGGCCAGCCTTGTTTGATTTAAAGAAGGGTTAAGGTACCAGGCTATAGAAATGAAAAATGTTGGCTAGGGACACAAAGCAGACTTAAGTTAAAAACGTTGATAACTTATCTTACTTCACCGAACATAAAAGTATCAATTCGTTCGGCTGCACTTAACTTTAGGTCCTACACTCATTTGAATGAAAATATCGATCGATATTTTGATTAATCGATTGTTTCATTCGAATGAGTGTAGGACCTAAAGTAAAGTGCATCCGTTCATTCAATAGGCCTAAGCTAAACTTAATTTTAACAAAACAAATTTCTATTGATTATAATAACTTATGACGATTGGGTCAGATTTCAAAGCCTTGTCGACTTAACCTAGCCGAGGGTTTTAACCAGAGAAATTTGCTTGCAACTTAGGTAGAATCTTCGGTTCAAAAACTGAGTTACAATTCCCTGACCTATCCCAACAACAAAAACACTCATGTTGTTTAGGTAAGACTAACTTAGGGGCCTACCGTAAAACCTGACACATCTTGATTTGAGAAGATAGGCTATGTTCAGCCAACTACTTAAAACATAAGTATTTTAGATCACTAAGGTAAATGATAAACTTAGATAAATAAAGTAAAGAAAGACATTGTTTCTGTTTCCTTACCTTGATTAACTTATCACTCGTGTTGTGTTTTATTTATAAGTAAATATGAGTACATACTAGCCCATTCACAGAAGATTAGTCAAAACACCTTTGTTCAGAAACCCAAGACACACTCTGTTGGCTATTAAATTGACAGATAAAGGGGCGTTTATTCAGAAATAAAATCCACCTACATTACGGAGTACTGGACCAGGATGACATCTCTACTACTGCGATTCTGGATCCTGTGATCGCGAATTCGAAAACCCAAGTAGACTGACTGACTGACTAGAAAAGCAATTTGACAACAGGATATAGCCACTAACACATTATAATGGCACCTCTTCTTACTTCTTAGTGCTTCTTAATAGTAATATTGTAGTTAAAGGTGGCCGTGGTAATATTGCGCAAAGAGTAATGTCTCAAAAGTCTGAAATGGTTACATTGTATAAAATGCAAAACTACCCTTCTAAAATAGCTATTATCATTGTTTATGGGTCAAAATACAGATCTAAAATGTATAACATTATTATTATATTTATTTTGACACTGTCATTGACTTTGAATGGTGCATGTAGATTTCTTGGCCTATTGTAAAATCTCAGGCATTGATTAACCCTACTCATTTCAAAGTCAACGTCCGAAGCCAGATTAGGTATGTGATTCATTTTGGTGACGTTTGGCTGCATTGATCGACTTATGTTGGCTCTTTCTTATTTTAGAGTCATTTTGCAACTAATTTTGTTGTAATTCCAGAAGACAAGTAATAATAGCCTACAAATCTATTGCTTAGGTGGATTGAAATAGTTTTAAAATAACAGGAAACATGTAGCAAACGACGAATTAATTAAAATCCCGTAATTTTGACATTTTCTGATTTGTAGAGTGTGTGTCTGTAGCACCAGTGTAGGTATGATGCATACATTTTACAGGGGTTTCCTTTATCTCACGAATAGCTTATGGGATGACATCAGTGGCCTTTTAGCGAATTTCCCTATAGGGAAGTAGCTATTACCGTAGGTCTCATGGTAAGACTTAGGCCCGGGACCGATTTACTTTTTCATTTTGATGTCCCCAGAGGCCAAAAACACCATTCGTTCAAATTTTTATATATTTATATATATATATATGTGTGTGTCCGTCCGCACGATAACTTGAGTAATTTTTGTCCGATTTTGATAAAATTTGGTTTGAAGGTGTAAGGCAGGATAAACTTGAATGAGTTCGCGAACCAGCATGATCGGACTATGGGAACGGGGGTTAATGGGGGTTTTATGGGGTAAAAATAGGTTTTTCCCATTTTTGGCCCTAAAAACACAAAATTTCACAATTTCTTTCCAAACCATTTTGTAGAGCTTAAAAAACAAATAATTTAGTATATTGAAGCGTTATTATGCGCCTAACTGCTACGGATAAAATTCAAAAAAATTGTAATTTTAAAATTCCCATGTTATTCTTATGGAGAATAAGTCAACTGTTGTAGTTTGCTTGTTTATGTTTATGAACATATTTTGATAAAATTTGGAAAATACATTAATTTCTTACCAAACTACAGTACCTTTTTTACATTAAAAAAAACTTTTTTACCCTCCCTGTTGCAGCAAACCTAAGTACGGTACTCATTAAACTAATTCTGTTTAAATAGGGAACAAATGTGATATTTTTAAGGAGACATTTTAGTGTAAATCCAATCAGGCAAATGGAAATTCGCTAAGTCTGCAGGTTTGCTGCGGCGGAGTTATTTAATTTGTTAAACTGTGATTGTAAGTTTTTAATTTTTTTTCCATACTGTAGTTTTACAGGCCACGGATGTAGCCTGTGGTGCTTGGAGGTGCTCCAACACCCTCCGAAATTGTCATAAAATTAAGTAACATTTTCCGCTATGGTCCGTAATGATTTACTGTACTTCCCACTTGAAATGTTGAGCGACCCACTACCCCTAAGGAAAGTATTTTAAAATCAACCATTATAATTTTAGCCCCTCTCATTTCTAGAAAAGTTTGCCGCAAACAAAATTTCAAATATCTCATAAATAGTTAAAAAGTTAGGAGGTGTGCTAGTTACTTTTAGCCAGCTTGGACCTAGCTGTTTATATGAAGAAGGGTCAAGTCCCTTTATTTGTTTGGTAAAATATTGAGCCATATTTATCACAAAATGTCATATTATGACAAATTTCCTAATAACAATGCAAATCTTTAGCATTACCTTTGACTATTAATAAAACAAAGTACTTTCAACGCTTTTGTTAATAAATGGTTGACATTCACGTCAATGGTCAGCACAACTTATTTATTCATGTATAGTCTTCAGAAAAAAATATTTTTATTTCGCTTCAGTGTCTATATACGAGTTCTTTATATGAGCCAAAATCATAAAAACCATGCATAGGTAATCTCTATTAGTTCCATAAACATATAACTTCGACTTCTTCCATTTTGTCAAAATAAGAACAGTTGTCATTATGGACTATTTAGGTTCTCGTTTGTTTTATGGGAATTTTTATGGAGTAAAAATTATTTTTCCCATTTTTGACTCTAAAAACATAAAATTTCACAATTTCATTCCAGACCATTTTGTAGAGCTTAAGAAAAGAAATAATTTTGTATATTGAAGCGTTGTTAGAATATGCCTAACGCGTACGGAGATAATTGAAAAAAAATAAAATTCACATGTTATTCTTATGGAGAATAAATAAACTGTTGTAGTTTGCAAATTTGGCAGTTTTGTTTATTTCATACTAAGCTATCAACATTTTAATAAAAAACAGTCCTCAAAACATTCCCTGTAGCAGCAAAACTAGGTACTCATTAAAATTAATGTTATTTAAACAGGAAATAAATCTGACTATTTTCAGGTAATATTTTAGTAGAAATCCAACTAGGTAAATGCCTTCCTTCCACCATGGGTAAATGCAAATTCGCTTAGTCTGCAGGTTTGCTGCGGCAAGGATATTTTTTATTGGGAAAGTTAAATGAAAACCAACAAAAGTCATGACCTATACATCTTTTCCAATTTTGTTTTATATTCAACAAATTGGAGTAGATTTTTTATTTTAATGTCTTATACTATAGTATATTTGATTATCTTAAGCCTTTTTCTTAATAGAAAGAGCTTGCACATGAACAACATTTTATACCTGTGACGTCAATATCACGGAGCTACGAGAATTTTATAATAACTGTTTGTATCTGACCACTTGGCTTGTGACTTAAAATGGTCACGGAGTCACGGAGATACAAATCAGAAAGCTTGAATAGTTGACAAAGTCGCTCTTCCCAAATAGTAATTGTTTTTACATGTGAGGATAAACCGGTATCCTAACACTCGTTTTACTATAGCTACGGTTGCGTGAACAAATTTGAATTGTTCGTAAAAAAAAGTATTTCAAAATGCATTAAAATCCAGCTTGCAGCTTGCTACATACACAATTCTCCTGAAGGCAGTAACGATTTTATGTTAATCATAAACTATGGTAAATACCCCCGCTGCAGCAAACCTGCCGACCAAGCGAATTTCCATCCGCCTGAATTGATTTTCAACTAAATCTGTTTGAATAACATTAGGTTTAATGAGTGCCTAGGTTTGCTGCTACAGGGAAACAAATAAAGTGTTTGGTTTTTTTAGTAAAACATTAGGCCTAATAGCTTAGTATAACATGGGAATTGTAAATTTACAATGTTTTTTAATTTTTATTCCGTTACCAAACACCGTACATAAACACTTTGATATACTAAATTATTTGTTTTTCAAAGCTCTTTAAAAAGGTCTAGGAGAAATTGGGAAATTTTGTGTTTTGAGGGTCAAAAATGAGAAAACCCAATTTTACCCCATAAGACCCCCCCCCCCCGCGCCCATGGTCCAATCATGCTGTTTCGCGAACTCATTCAAGTTTATCCCGCCTTACACATTCAAGCCGAATTTCATCAAAACCGGACAAAGATTAGGTACTCTAGTTATCGCGTTCACGGTCACTTATATAACTCCCTCTCTCTAAATATGTATAATATATAAAATTTGAACGAATAGTGTTTTTGGCCTCTGGGGACATTAAAATAAACAAGTTAGTCTAGTCGGTCCTGGGCACCGTGCCACCTACGGTAATTGTCTATACTCCTTTTATCTATGGTAATAAATAGCTACTTCCCTATTGGGAAATTCTCTAAAACATCTAAAAATATGTATAGTTCGAAAATTGTTCTATTAACTAGTGCTATCTCCCTACTATAAATAACACTGACCAAATCATTCATAACAAAAATAAATATGAGGCAGGGGGAAAAATATTTTATCGAGAAACTTGTTTCGCTAACAATAGTGTTGGTATTAAAATAGTCTATAATATTATTGGCCGTTGGCGGTCAATACACAGTAGAAATGAAGGAGTGTTGCAATAGAGCTAAAGAACGTGTTGATACAAAGACTCAAAGATCGGATCAGCTGATTAGCTCTGAATGAAGTCCTTCATTTGCCGACATTGATAACAAGAGTGATAACAAGTTCCTATGAACCCAGCCTTGGTCGCTGCTCTCAATCCAGGCTTTGACTTCCGTTGCATACCATGAATAATTCAATATATGTTTGAATAAAATGATTCTTCCATGTTTACCAACTTAGATTTTAAGTTTATGTTCGAATCTGACGATTCTTACACATGTACCTACCTGAATTTCACAATAATATTAAATAGTAGTCTTGTATAATAAGAGGAGGCAAAAAGATGATTCTGATCATCACAGGATCATAGAGGTAAACGATTTCAAAATAATATTTTTTTTTAATTTGCATTTAAAAGTTCGAGCTTTTAAGTTGATTGTTTTTAAGTAAAATTCATTTTATATTTTGGTATGGTTAGTTAAAATAATGAAGAAGCATAAACATAGAACGGAAAATATAATGATAGGACCATTCTTGCAGTTAGTTAGTACAGGATTAGACAAAAAAAAATATTGTCGCAAAAGACTAAAGGAATTGGTTTGAAAATGGCGTTTATTACATGGTTGATGTAATTTTTTTATGTAAATAATGAGAAAAGGAAATGATATGGAAATAAATAAGGTAGGTATAGGATTCGTGCAGCTACATAATCATAGATTTACTACAGAAAAAATTATTAAAAATCGTAATTATTACACGTTTACTTCAATGTACGAAAATAATCAGAAAAGGAGAGAAGGTGTGTTACGTAAAATTAGGGGATACCA